AAAGGCAGGGTTGGTCATTTTCAAAAACTAGCATGATTTTGAAAGTAGCATTCCCTCTGTGCTCCCTTAAAAGCCACGCCCCCTCACTTAAATGCACGAGCGCCGTCGCTCCAGAAGCAGACCTCAGCTCATCTCTTGCATTGTGTCGAAACTACGTTGTCTCGTGTCTCATTCAGCAGTAAGTAAACCCTCAGCATCATCGGTGAAGTGCTTTCAGTGTGAGCTAGAGCACGCAAGAGGTAGAGAGCGAGCAGGGAGACAGGGAGGCGTGTGATTGGTTCATCAGATTGGTACCTCGTGGCAGACATTGGTTGAAGTTTTACTCTAAGGTGTTACGCTGAATAAAGTGAGAGGTTCTGAGACGCCGAGTCCCGTTAGTCCAAGGATATAACAATCTGTCTAGTGTGTACCAGCCGTGCAGCAGCTTAGCATACTGTCTCACAAAGCAAAAACAACACCTTTTGTTAAGAAACAATTAAAGGCTCGTCTCATATTGACGCCTGTCCCAAACAACAGCAGTTTTGCGGTAAACTTGATTTTCTAAGTATCAGATGGAAAAAATGCAAAAGCAGCTCTTCATAAACACATGAATAAGAACACTGCCCATACCCACTAGCTCAATCCTCTATAACAATTATACATTTGAAGCTAAACCAGTGATAAGAAAGGTAAACATTTCCTGTGCCCTAACAATTTAAAGGAGCAGTATGTAACTCTGACACCTAGTGTTTGAAATGGGGACTGCAGTCCAAATTCTAAACATTATAGAGAGCTCTCACCCCCCCCCCCTCCCCTCCCCCCCTCCCCTCTAGAGTCGATGTTCACGCAGGTTGCCATGTGGTGGACACTGAAGCTTCAGTGTTTATCCAGCTCTGCATCGGTCTGTAAACCTTTCTGTGTTCTAACCTCTCTCCATTTTTCAAAAGCATCTCCAACATTGATCCTAGTTTGAGCACGTTTCTGCTCGTGGAGCTTATTAGAAACATGCAGAGGCTTTTTAGGTCGGGTACAATCACTTCTATCTGAACCACATCTCTTGCCCGCTTCCATCGCTGAAACACCTGTTGGTTTGACCTGATAACTGCTCTCATATCTGACAAACTGAGGGGCGTCCAAAACGGCCGTGTGGGGGTGCCTTAAAACCGCCTACCTTCTCTGGTCCAAACAAATCCAGAGCATTCAGGACCAGAATCTAAAGTTAGAAGGAGGACATACTGGCTGCTGCATTGTTGTCAGAGAAGCCAGCACTTCTACATAGCATGTTTCCTTAATGTCTGATCATATAGTAAGCTCACTTTATCATTTCACTCACTGCACATCTCACTGATTGGACCTTTAACAGTCAAACTTGTGACTCATTGTGAATCTTTACCGAGGAAAATGTGAAACCTGAAAGTCCCGTAGCAAATACAAAAACAACTCACTGCGTCATCCGGAGCTCTGCACATTAAAAATACAAAAGCAGCTGAATAGTTAAATTTTGAATGTGCAGATTTCCTGATGACGCAGTCAGGGAGACACCACCGAGGTCAGTGTTATGTCACACACGCACACAAACACTGGGAGCTGCACTCTGGCTGCTCTCAGCTCCGAACATGCGCCTTGTATTGAAGAGTCTGTTATGCGTCTCACTCCTTGGTCTCAAGGCTGCATTAGTCCGCCCACGCTGACCGTGTAGACAGTTTACTTGTGGTTTAAAAGCCAAAAGCTTGTCTGCTGTCTGTGTGTACCAGACTATGAAGATTAGTCCTTACAGTATCCATGTGCTTGTTCTGCTGTTCTCATGTGAGGCTCCGGTGTGTTTAGCTCAGAATTGAATAATATGGTGTTAAATTCAGCTTGCTCTGAGGTCCTAGTTAGAAGTACTGGACGTGCATATATTGGTGCTGCACGTTGTTGTGCTGTGAGTGCATGCAGGAAACGAGTGCACAGCGGTGTAATGATGTGCTCGGTCTGCTCTGAGTGCTGCTCATGTCTTCCTCTGCGCTCATTCTGATGTTCAGTAGGGCAGTGGGGAAGTAGAAGCAGAGGAGGGAGGGAGGGGAGCCGAGCAGCCAGCGGTGCTGTTCACTGGAGCTGTGTGGCAAGGTGACGCTCAAGCCGACGCTTTCAGCCAGCTCGTACAGATTCACTCCAGTGTCACACAAGAATTGCGTCCAAACTGTGGAAGGAAGCAGTCGGTTTCCAATTCTAAACTCTTCAAGGGTGGAAATGTCTCTGAAACAGCTTGCCTTGGATGGCGCCCTGAGAAAAACAGAAATAAAAAATCTCCTTTTTTAGGCTCATAAGAAATCAAAAGACAGGAAGCAGTGTTTGAGATGACTATCTCTGAAGACTTAGAAAAATAACCCCCTCCCCCGACATGCGGTGGGATTTCTCCTGGTGTCTATTTGAAAACGAATAAAACATGCACCCGCTGTGGGTGGACAACAAGCAACGGCTGACGTGTGATTTTTAATTTAAAGAGCAGCACATTATACCTCTCTGTTCCTCCTCGAGGGCATATGTCATATTATCTTCAGATTATCCTCCCTCTGATCTGTGAGCTGCTCTGCGGCACAAGAGGATTATCACGCCTCTCGGCAGCCGCTGATATCATCGTCATCTCCAGACCCCCCTCCCCTCCCCTTTTTGCTGCTGTTGCACGGCCTTTCTGAAAGGATGATGTTGTTGTTTGTTCAGTTTTTCAGGGCTGAATTTTTCAAACTGTTAAATGTGGCTGTAGTGAAAGTTCCGCTGCCCAGTGTTGCCAGATGTCCCATAAGTATCGTATTTGTACCATCAGGTTACCCGCAGTACAATTAATAATAGCAGAAAAAGCCAAATGTACGATAATTTACATTTTTTTTATGTCTACTCAAACTTTATGTCACAAACTATAAACATTGTTTGTGACTTGAGAGCCACAAATCACATCAGCACCTGACCAACACGCCCTTCTCTCTGCTGTCACGCTCTACCTGCCAATCAGATCTTCACCTGATCTGCTAACGCCTGCGGCTCGTTACACCAGACAGACTGCAGGAAAACAAAGGCCACAACTTCAGATGCTACGAGCTTTGATCCACTGCACCTGGAAGCGAAGCAGTTTGGAAAAACAATCAACACTTTACTGTGTTTGCTCCTTTGTTTGTTCGTTTATTTACATGAGTATGGAGTGCAGGGCAGAGTTTTACATTCAGGGTGGTATGTAGGTCCAGTATCGCGATTTAAAAAAAAAAATGTACTGCAGTACGATTTTGCTGTGGAAGTGATTGTGTGAAGAGGAATTAACAGGACGAGGTCTGGTAGGGTGTCTGGTAGTTTCCGATTCTCTTCAAATCAAATAAATGAAATTAGTGGCCCAACGATCATCCCTGCTTCTGTTGCTCTTTAGTGAGAAGAGTCTCTGAAACTCGAGCTTCAGCGAGCCTCTGTCACTCACCACAGGACTGGAGGCGACCTGTACCTGTCGAACTGCACTTATCTGCCCAAATCCGTCATCAAGCGGCTCAATGCTCCAGGTGTGGTGACCCATATAGAGCAACAATGCAGCAGCGTTGGCTCCACATGTGGCCTTTGCTGTTGACGGAAATGTTTCCCACGTGAGTACAGGTAAAGCTAAAAAAAGAGTGTGCAGACAAAGGGGCTTGTCAACACCTGATACTCTGTCTGTGGTTTGACTTTACAGAGCAGACAGATTTTATGGAGGACAGAGCGGGAGGAGGGGGTTCATCTTTTGTCTCCTGTCTGCGTCTGTTAACTCGCTGACCCTCCAAGCTGCCTGGACACAGAGCTTTAAAAAGATCATTTCAACAAGCGTCTCGGAATAGTTACTCACATAATTGCAGTGACGTCAGAAATCTCATAACGGGCAACAAGTGTTGGCTTTGTGTTTGATAATGTCAGCAACCACTCCAGTGAGAGTGACCTCCATCGCTTTATGGCCGCTTGTCCACGGCGAACGACGCATGCAAAATGTTCTGAGCTGCAGCCTGAAGAGGGTCAGCTCGGTTACCGAAACCAGACTAAAGTGCGCTAATTAGCACGCAGGCTAATTTAATAAACCCCTCTGTCCACACTGCACCCGTTAAATATTTCATTCTCTGCTCTGTGAATCTGAGTTTCCTTGCACACATGTTTTTTTTTTACAAGACCTGTGCAGACTTTGTGTCGGTGGGATAACTTTGAAAATAAAATGGTCATTACAGAAGAATTTCAAGAACATTTTTGCATGGTAAGGACATCGTTGTTGACTTGGCGTGCTCATGACAGCCGTCACACTGCATTTTTGCGTTTCTGCCCAAGCAGTTGCTTGCCTTGCCTATTGACAAGCAGCGCCTCTAGTTATCACGTATTGCAGCGATGGAAGCGGTCAAGAGAACTGGTTCAGATAGAAGTGATTGTACCCGACCTAAAAAGCCTCTGCATGTTTCTAATAAGCTCCACGAGCAGAAACGTGCTCAAACTAGGATCAATATTGGAGATGCTTTTGAAAAATGGAGAGAGGTTAGAACACAGAAAGGTTTACAGACCGATGCAGAGCTGGATAAACACTGAAGCTTCAGTGTCCACCACATGGCAACCTGCGTGAGCATCGACTAGAATAAAAGAGTCAGCAGTGGTTTGTTTTCATCGAGTTGGTGGCAGGAAAATGTTAAACTGTTCTTTTAACACGATGTAACATGCTCAGCCTTCATTATAGAAACGCTTTATATAAAAGCAGCTGCAGAAGTGGTCATCGATCAGTACAGCTCCGTTTGTGCGTATGTGTGCATGTTCTTAAAACCATGTGTGCTTGTCAGTTTATGAGTCATTGAAAGAATTGATGACAAAGGCCTTGAATACTCTGAAGGAGCTGCAGAGCGGAGCACACAGGAGTCCCCTCTTCATGCAAAGACAACATTAGTTTTTTTCTGAGTCATGACACACTAAGAGGCCGGTTCACGTGCATGCTGAGCTGAGCTGCTCGACTACTTTCTCCCTGAGTCACACTGTTTTTCTTCTTCTTGCCCTTTCAGGTGAATGTTGATGACACCATTGAAATGTTACCAAAATCAAGAAGAGCTCTCACCATTCAAGAGATTGCTGCATTAGCGCGATCCTCCCTGCATGGTGAGTGAGACAGCAGCATACAGCAGATATTGAAACACATGTAAAGATGTTATGTATTAAAAGCAACACGTGTCTTTTTCCTTGTAGGTATCTCCCAGGTAGTGAAGGACCATGTGACGAAGCCTACAGCCATGGCTCAGGGCAGAGTGGCCCATCTCATAGAGTGGAAAGGCTGGTGTAAGCCCATCGACACCCCGGCAGCCCTGGAGTCAGACTTCAACTCGTACTCCGATCTCACTGAGGGAGAACAGGAGGCTCGCTTTGCTGCCGGTACGTTTTCTACTCCGACTTGTTTATTACATAAATTACAGATGCAATGATTTGAACATCGGAATCTGCATATGTCCGCCCTGTTGACATGTGGCATGCAGCGATGTCAGTAGCCAATATGAATCTGTTGTGTTGCATCAATTTCAAAGCTGGATTGGTAGTAAAGGATTTGTTTAAAAGAAATCACTTAATTGTATCCATTCTTAAATTCACCTGCTGAGCTGTCATTGGCTGGAGGAAACACACCAGCTCCGCCCAGAAACATCCCGAGTCAACCAGAACAAACCAGAACAGTAAAATCCAGTCAGAGGACAGAGTCTCTGCAGACACAGTCACCACCACACATGTACGGAGGCCCAGAAGGGACGATGGAGCAGCTTCACTTTAGGAGAAGTCTGTATTTAATTTTGAAGGAAGAAGCTGCTGACTCCATCTTGAACTTTTCTTTCTTTCACTCGTTCCTTACCCTCAGTTCAACACTCACTTCCTCCCATACTCACATTTCCCTCTGTTAAATTTCCTCTCTGCCCCCAGTGTCTTTATCTCCTCTTCCTCACCCGGTCTCTCTCGTCGGCTCTCCCTCCATTCTCTCCCTCGCTCCCTCGCTCCCTCACTCCCTGCAATGCAGACTCTCAAGGTTAATTTGCACAGTAAGGTTTTGCTCCTGGCCTGTGCCACCGTGACTGAGCGATTTTCCTCGTGCCTCGTCTGTTCACCTTCCGTTTGATCTTTTCCTCTTTTATTTCTTACTATTTACTCGACTTCTCTTCTGCTATCTTCTCACGCTCCGATCTTTTTGATCCATTATCGCAACTATTTTAAAGTTCATTAGTAAGGATGGCGGTTTCACAGGAAACTGTAACAATGACTCAAAAAAGCTGATTTGTTTACACGCCCCAAAATAGTTCTTACTGCCATTTTCCACACAATCCTTGCACACTGCTTTCCGTCAGCACCACAGTTTTGCCCTGTTGGGCGGTGCGCATCCTGGCCTACCAGGTCGATTTCTGGAGCGTGCACTCAGCAGAGCGCAGCCACGAGCAGCTGTACACACATCACAGGAACACTACAAGATCACAAGAGAATTACAAGATTACAAGAGAACTACAAGTTCACAGGAGAACTACAAGATCACAGGGGAACTACAAGATCACAAGAGAACTACAAGTTCACAGGAGAACTACAAGATCACAAGAGAACTACAAGATCACACGAGAACTACAAGATCGGTAGTGCCGGTGACGTCGACAGTGCCTTTCTGAGCGGCCGCTCAAAAAAAAGGGGGGGGGGGGGGCGCTCAGAAAAAAGACGCTGGGTGCTGCGTTTACTTTCTGCTGCTTAAACACTTTCTCTTCATTAGAAACAATTGAAAGAAGCTGCTGGCACTCAGAAAATAACACTAGGGAAACACAAGGCCTTAGACTACACACCAGTCGTTGCTCCAATTTATATTTAATAGAATTTATCACCACACTTGCCCCCAGCCCTTCATCAGACAGAAATATATTAATATAGTCCTGCTGATTCAGAGCAAACGTTGACTTTAAGGATGTTGGTTGGGTTGTCATTTCTTTCCATCTTATCTGTTACATCATCGTCATGTGTCCTTACGTTCAGGGATCTGCCAGTTGTGCTGATTCCTATTATTAAGTCGACTGTCTCCTTGAAGCCCTTGCAGTAATGTAGTTACTGCGGCTGACTGGACACAGCGAGAGGATGTCAGCATGCGTGTTGGAACACAGAGTGAGCGTGTGCAAACGTGTGAAGTTTGTGTTTGGTACCTTTTAGTTGGACATAAAGGAACACAACACCATGCACTGAGGGCAAGATGAGAAATGAAATAAAGGTTTGGTTGTCCTCTTGATGGACTGACTTCTAAAAACACACACACACACACACACACACACACACACACACACACACACACACACACACACACACACACACACACACACACACACACACACACACGCTCTCCGTAGTGCGTGAAACCGGCTGCCAGGCTTGACTGACACAGAGAGGTTTATTGGTAAATGGACTTGAGCTTTTCTCGTCTTCTGACTTCCTTGAATCACTCTTACACCGCAGGTCACACCTACACGTTCACACAGCCGTTTCCAGACTGCTCTTTTTTTCCATTACGTTTTAGCGTTGCAGAAACTCGGCACAGCGGGAGCTCCACATACACACACAGTGAGACATGCACACACACACACAGCGCTGTTCCCCCCCGCTGGCTCAGCTGATCCCATCTCTTCTCTGTAACTCCTCTGTTACTACCAATGAAGACAGGACGGGGGGGGGGGGTCACTTCGTCAACCCGTTACGCCTCCGGGACATTCAGATTGAAGGTGAAACGTAAATATCGCTGCTTTAAACGGCGGTCTGATTATAGCCAATTGATGGCAGAGGCTGCAGTCTAAAGTTTCCATCAGTATTCACTTATCTATTCATACACATTCAACTCAACTCAGCTTTATTTATATAGCACCTTTCATACATGAAAACATGCAGCCCAAAGTGCTTCACAAAAGAACAGAATTAAAACACAAAGAATTGACATTTTAGTATTGACATTAAATAAAACAAAATAAAAACAAGAGATAAAAGAACTGTAAGCACAATGATGAAGGAAAAAGTGAAAGCAGTAAAACTGCTGACGCAGCAGAGGGGGAAATTTGGGGGTAAATTGTTTTGCCCGAGGACACATCGACATGTGGCTGCAGGAGCTGGACCCTCGACCCTCCAGTTTAGAAACGACCAACTCTACCTCTAAGTCACAGCAGCCTCTATGTCTCTTACTGCACGGTGTGTGTATGCGTGTGTGTGTGTGTGCGTGTGTGGAGGAGGAACAGAAAGAGTGTAAGTGAGAAGATTGGTTGAAAGTATGTGTGTGGATAAGTGTGAAGTGTGTGTGTGTGTTTGAGTGGCCGTCCTCCAGTTTCTCGTACACTGTAGTGTAGCAGAGGACGCACCGGGTTTACTCTACACACAGCACGTAGCAAACAAACCTGTTGGACGGTCTGAATCTGGAAATTGGCGTCAGTGATGGGAAACAAGCCACAGCACAATCTAACAATGCAGAGGAGGAAGAAAGATATTATTTCAGGCTGCGTTTGTTCTTGAATCCAATAATAACTTTTTTAAAAGAGGAGCAGGTTTACAGTGAAGTGAAGAAACAGGAGAACAAAGCAACATCAAGCAATCACAAGAAAAACAAATATATTGAGATAAGAAATACAGAACCGGGTTTCAAATCAGGTCTCATGTCTGTAAGTCGACGATAACTGTCTCGTATCACTTCCTGTGTCTGGTAAGCGTTTCACCCACATAAAAGAGTTTGTACCCATTTGAAAACTATCTTTCAGCCTCAACAGAATTACTTCAGTTTTAAAAACGTATTTCAAAGGCCGACTAGAGTTTCCTTGCATTTGCATTGGCTGGAGGGTGTGTCAGTGTTTCTATGAGGAGAGTTCAGGGCCGAGCTACAGTCGGAGATGAATGAGAGCATCGATCTCTCGCTCTGCGGGAGACAATGCATGAATACTGAGAGAGAGAGAGACGGAGAGAGACACAGATAGAAATCAGAAAGGAGCGAGGGGACATGGCTGGGAGATTGCATGCACGGCGAAAGAAAAGCAATTGGTGGGAATGGGGAGAGTCAGGTGAGTCGATAGAGTGTTTCATTGAGAGAGACGGTCGGGAAAAAGGCGTGACACGGAGGAGGCAGCGGAAGAACACTGAGGAATACAAAACAGACGGGCGCTGAGGAAGAAGAGGATGAGGCATGGCAGAGAGATAAATAGAAAAAGAGAAAGTGGAGTCTTATTCTGTGATTTGCCGGCTCCTGATGATGATTGGAAGTGATTGGTCTGCTGGACCTTGTGGCTTATGTTAGGCCTGGTACGTGCTGAGTCACCTCAGCCAGACACGCGCTGATGTCCTCTGTGTGGCCTTGCGTGTGTTTGTCATCAACATGCACATCCATGTGAATGTTTGTTTGGTTACTTGCAAAATATGGGCTTCACTCTTGATGGTAGAATTTGCAGTTTTATCATTACAGGTGAAATAACAACGAGATGGAAACAAACTTAAATGCGACTGGGATTGAGAAAAGGCCTTTGAAGCGTTAGAAACACATCTCCTTCTAACTTTAGATTCTGGTCCTGAATGCTTTGGATTTGTTTGGACCAGAGAAGGTAGGCGGTTTTAAGGCACCCCCCCACACGGCGGTTTTGGACACCCCTCGGTTTGCCAGTGTGATTGTACCCGACCTAAAAAGCCTCTGCATGTTTCTAATAAGCTCCACGAGCAGAAACGTGCTCAAACTAGGATCAATGTTGGAGATGCTTTTGAAAAATGGAGAGAGAGGTTAGAACGCAGAAAGGTTTACAGACCGATGCAGAGCTGGATAAACACTGAAGCTTCAGTGTCCACCACATGGCAACCTGCGTGAGCATCGACTCTAGAGAGGAGGGGGGGCTGGAGCTCTCTACAAAGTTTAGAATTTAGACTGCAGTACCCATTTTAAACACTAGAGTTACATATTGCTCCTTTAACCTGTTATTTTTATAGATTATTTGAAGTGTCAAGACCACGTTTGTTCTTACATTTAAGGGCTACACTTGATCGCTTAATAGTCAGCCATCGGTTTAACGCATGCGATGGATCTTGGGATACAAAGGATACACCGAGTGCATCCCTGATGGCCCGGGAAGAGAAGGGACGCATTTGAAGGAAGCCTCGAAAAGGGACAGCCTTTGACATGCCGTTGGGAAACAGCTTATGACAATGATTGTGTCATTGCTTTTCTTTGCGCTTCTTCTAAAAAACTGTCTCGCCTCTAGGCGGCAGGATTGCAACCTGCCTAAGAACCCTCAAACACTTGGTGAAAGCCATCTTTAGTGCATCAGCAGCCAAACGCCAGCTCAGGAACATAAACTGTAACGGGACTGCGGCGTCTGTCCAGTCTAATAATACTGTTCCTTGATCTGTCGTGAAAAACAGTTACATGACAGGGAGACACGATGGCCCGCTGCCTCCTTGTTACCATGCCAACCACGTATTTGTGCATGTGCACCTAACAAGTGTTTTTGTGTTTGTGTGTGCACAGGAGTGGCGGAGCAGTTTGCCATAGCGGAGGCTAAGCTGAGGGCCTGGTCCTCTGTGGACGGCGACGAATCCAACGATGACTCATATGACGAGGATTTTCTGCCTGCCAACGAGCCCGCCACACAGAGCACAGGTACGCACGCACGCACGCACACACACACACACACAGTACCTCTACACATACATATTTATTCCTTTCATATTGTGCCGCTCCTTCCTGCCTGATACCCAATCACACACACCCTCTTTCTCATCCATCTCTTCTTCTTCTCTCTTCTCTCATGTCATGCCTCTCCGCCATTGTCCCAGTGCCCTAGTTTTCTTCCCTCCCAACATTTTTTTTTGTTCCTCCGCGCAATTTGATATCCCTCCTGCAAGTTTAATATCATTTCCTTTGCTGCAGAGACAGTGTGTGCGTGAGGTCGGTGTGTGAGCGGGTTATAAATACATACACTGTATTTACCAGAGCTGTGTTTGGGTGTGTGTGTGTGCGCGGGTGTGTGTGTACGCCCGAGCTTTCATCTTGATTACACTGAACCACCAATAACCTGTACTGCAGCTAATAACATTCAGCTCAGTGTTTCTTCTCCATCTTTATGCGTTCATCTTTGGCCTCTGACTGTCAGGCTCAGGCCTCTTACTGACGAGAGCATCACGTACAGCCTGGCACGCTTATTCCTCCCGCCTTTTGCTGCTCTATAGTTGAGTTTCCTGTTCTGTTAATTCTACCAACTAAAATATGTCGGGTACATCAAACACTCCTCTCAGGCACAGAGTAACTTCAAATGAGTTAAATAATGAACAGGAAGGGTCAAGTCTTTGAGTACTGGCTGTGTGTAATGACTGAGACTACCTCCACTCAGTGAATCATCGCTACATTTTAAAGTTTCATCTCATATTCTGTTGTTGTAAGTATTATTCCTGGTGCTGAGAGTCTATCTTTTCCCCTCTAGATGTTCCATCATATCCTCCTTACTTGAAGGACCTGATCCACAGCCAGCTTTGCCAGCACCTGGGCCTGCGCGGGGCGTGCTGCGATGTCGGAGGAGGGGAGGGAGGCGTCAGCGGTGAGCCTTCCCCTACGGCGGGCTCTCCGGACACCCTGTGCTCAAGCCTCTGCAGCCTGGACGAGCACCACCCGCTGCTGCGCGACCTGGACTCCCACCGTGGCTCCCACTCCCACAGCAATGTGGCCGAGCTCGCCGCCAAGATCCTTTCAGCGCTGCAGGGAGGGGAGGAGCTTCTGCTGGCCCGACTTCAGAGGGCAGGGCAGAGCGGGCCCAGAGGGGGAGACTGTGCCTTCCACAGCCTGGGCGGGGGAGGACGGGGCATCAGGCCATGCAGGGGTCAGGACTCTCCGTGCTTCTCCATGTCTTACTCCGACACGTACCTGTCGCCGGGCGAAGACGATGACACACCCTGCAAGGACTATGAGGGCACGGTGTGCCAGGTGGAGGCGGAGGGCAACGGAGAGGAGTATGACCCACGCAGGAGAGTTTCTGACGTGGCCTCTTCTGGGGTAGTGTCTTTGGATGAGGAGGATGAAGACGAAGAAGAGGAGGAGAGGGCAGCAGAGCCAAACAACCAATGACTCTTCTCATCTCAACTCAGTGTTCAATCTCTCTGTGGAGGCGTTTCTTCTCTTCTCCATCGTGTCTGAAAAGTTTGAACATTCGCGCATGTTTGTTTTTTGGACTGAAGCATCCATCTTTGCCTTACTTGCAGCATTTCAACTCCCTCCTAAACTATGTCCCCATTTGACGTGTTTTATTTTGAGGCGTCAAAACAATCTTTTTTATCTGTGTGAGAGCAGGGGGCTTGCTCCAGCAGTCCAGGGACTTACTCGTGGGTATGAAGCTCACAGTTTTCGGCTCCGTCCCGTCATGGGAAGTGACTCTGACAAATGGACGCCTCCAACAGGCAGACAGAATGACTCCAGAGTCCGACACTCTGACTTATCTTTGCATGTTTTTGCAAGTGCTGAAATCAAATGGGCTGACCCGGTCTTGAGCTCGGTTTGTATTCTGTATAACCCCCCCCCCCCCCCCTCGCCCACACCCCCAGTGTCTCCCGTGGAAGGGAGGGTTGACACTGCATCCTGGGACCTGCCCTTACCTCCCCCCTCTCCCCTCCCTCCCTTCCCTGTCCTTTGCAAGAGACAAAATAGCATCCTTTTGGGCATGGCTTGCTGAGTATGCCAAACTATTTAACCCTGTCACTACAAGTTATGAGCAAATGCTGGAATGTCTTCAAAGTGACAGGACATAGTATGTATTTTAAAATAACAAAGTTAACAAAGACTTGATACAGATTATATGACAGAAATGATATGCTTTTATTGTACTAGTTTTCTATCACTCAGACATGTTGTTGTTCCCCTTATTCCCGACATCATTATGATGGACGCCATAATGATCTCCCGTAGGTACCGGCTATTTTTGGGAGGTTCTGTGGATTCCTGCGTGGAAGCCATGAGACCTTCGCTTGTCTTACAAAAAAAAAACAACAGCAGCAGCAACAGTGACAGAATGTTCCTGAAGTGACCCTTTGGCCATCCGAGTGTGGCAAGGAAGAGGCGCGGCTTGAAGAGGCAGATTTTTGTCTGTGAAGAGAAAGAGTTGCATCGGAGATTTTCTATATTTTTGTATGCGTTGTCTTGCTTTGATCTCTTTGCCTATGCGGCGTGCCAGTGTATGTGGTTTTTTGCACGAAGCTAACGTGGCTGTAGATTTTTCTCCTTTTCTTCGTTATCACTGTGTGATATAGTTTACTGGGAAAAAAATTATAAAACAAATGTGAACAATTTTAATTTCGTTTTTGAAAAGAGGATACTGTGATACGGTTTGTGATCGCCATACGTCATGATCCTCTCGTCCTCTCATACTGAACCCTAAGAAGCTTTGCCTTTTAATCTTTACTTATCCTCTTTTCTTTGTGATGATATTTGGCATGTTTAAACGTGGCACATGCAGAAACTCCTCCATCACCATGGCGATGTGAGGAACTGTGTTGAGGCTCTCCCAGAGGGACCGTCATTCATACAACTCAGGAAACTCCATTGGACCAGAGCGTCAGTGCATCATCACACCCACCTGCATACCACCTCTCTCATCTTCAGCGTGTGTGCGTGTGCTTGTGCGTGTGCGTGTGCGTGTGTGTGTGTGTGTGTGTGGGAGAGAGAGCCTGGTTATTTTCTACTATAAAGCACAGATTCAGCCCCCAGATCCTTTTAATGTTGTTTTAATGGTAAGAAAAGCCTAAATGTGTGAATCCACAAGAATTGTGCAAACGTGTGTGAGTGTGTGCGTGTGTGTGTATATGTGTGTGTGTGTGTGTATGTGTGTGTGTGTGTGTGTGTGTGTGTGTGTCTGTGGCTTTACTGTAAGATGTCGGCGAGCCTTTTAAGCTTGCATTGCGAGCTTATTACAAACCCCCCTCCAACGCAGCGATTCCCTTTAATGCAGTGACTCGTGTTTAGCGGAGCTCTTGTTGGAGGTTGAACTTTTACTGGTGCTGCAAATTAAACAAAAGAAGAAGAAGAGAAAAGCATTCAGTACAAACAAACATCTGGAAATGATTAAAGAAACGACATTGCTCATCGGGCTACACGAGCAGCTCCAGGCTGGAGATTTTTGAAAAAGACAGCGACAACTCAGGGGGAACCATCGAAGCTGTGCCTTTCATTCGTCACCTTTGACCTCCCAAGTTGCACCATCAGCATCATCACATCATCATCTGTGCTGTCACTCAGGCCATAGCTTGGCGTCCTTACCCTCCAACAGAGGCACAAAAATGGTCCTGTTGCATCGCCTGTGTTCATTTTTCCCCTGTAAGTAGAAACTGGAGGTTACAGCGGGCGGTTTGCGTCACTGTCCTTTTGGTTGACATTAAAAGCCGGGCAACGCTTTTTGTCCTGGCTCAGTTATGAGAGTGAGCCATTGTTCAACACCCTCCCATTTTTAATCTGTCCACTCCAACGCAACCCCTCCGTCTGTCTCTCTGAGTATTCATGTCCTCTCCTCGGTGATGTGTGTGACAGAGAGACGGGCACCTTGTGCGTTTTTCATTCACTCGAGTGTTTGCTGCTCTCTTGCACATCAGTGTGTTTTTATGAGTATACTTGTGAGTGTTTTCACCTCAGAACCTGAAGCTCGCTCCCCTTGTTGACGTGGCATCATGGTGGATATCCTCATCTGCCTATCCTTGTGAGAACATTTTGTCCTCACAAGGATAGGAGGGAAGATTTCCTGCTGACACACACACACACACACACACACACACACACACACACACACACACACACACACACACACACACACACACACAGACAGCCTGATGAATGTCTCCCCTCTTCCTCCTTCTGTCCCTGTCCTGTCATTTCCTGGCCTCCCCTCCTCTCCTCGCTCCGTCCCCCACCCTTCCATCTTTCCCCACAGCGGGGGCTCATTATGTAAGCAAGAGGACGTCTGAGTGCTACCTTTGCCAACAGGCAATTAGCCCTCTATTAAGAAACAGCCTGACGAGCAGGAGATGCATATCTTTCTCCTGTCTGTCTTTTCTGCTCCCTTGTGTCATTTTCCCCTTCACTCCACCTGCATCCTCCCTCCACCCCCCTCTCTCCACCCCATCATTACCGCCTCGAGCTTTTTCTAAGCAACATCTTTTGAGGTTAGCTGTCTGAGAAAACTCCAAAAAGTTTTGTTTTTTTAAAATGCTCACCTCTCTGTTCAGAAGTGATTCATATTTCGAAAAACAGAAGAGCCCCCTGCTGTCCTTCGGTGTGACAGATGTCTCTCTTGTGTGTGTGTGTGTGTGTGTGTGTGTGTGTGTGTGTGTGTGTGTGTGCGTGTTTAGTTTGTCGCTTCAGGCAAGCGCTGACATTGGACACTTATCAGAGACAAGTGCTCCAGATTCTCTCGCTCCCTCTCTCTGTGATAGTGGCGGGAGAACCCAGCGCTATAAAAAGACATCAAAACATCTGTTGGACAGCAGCAAGGCGGGAGGGCGGATGAATATTCAGGAGATGATGGTGGCGCCCTCGTCACACGATAGCCTACTTACCATTTTAGAACAAAGAAGAAGGGCCGCTTGCCGCAACACCGGCCCCGTAGCAGCGATACTGCAACAAAACCCGAGTGTGAAAACAACAAGAGGAGATGAATACAGAGACTTACAGAGAGAGCAGGCCTGAGTTTAACCCACATTAGACGCCACTGCTTTGATTTAAACATCTCAAAATACCAAGGACGGGACGAGGCACACACACACACACACACACACAAAGACAAGATGCTCGTGAGGGATCACAAAGCCATACAACTCGACAAGGACTCCATGAAGCGATCACAGATGACCTGAAATCCGTTTCATATCATCTCAGCATCACACACACACACCCTCATCAGTCTCCTCCCTCGGAAAACTTCAATCCTCGACCTTTCTTTTAGTCCTTCTCTTCTTCTTTGAATACTATTCTTCCTCTTTTGGCTGAATGTAATTATTTGAAAATTGCCACCTTGGATTTGAATAACGAATCTTTGTTTGCTGCATCTGATATTATTTCAAGTTAATAAAATATTGTTATTGTTCTTTGCAACAAAGACGAATCTGGAGTATGTTTTTCTTGTCTTAGGACGTTTTTCACATCAGACACGATTGTTCCCCTCCCCCCTCTCAGGCCAGTAAGGGGCCCCCCGAGGGCTCACAAACTTTAAACCACAGCAGTACCTCAAAATGTGCAAATTTTGCAATGACAGTAGGAAACCTCCCTATGGGGGCCCCATCAGACACTCTCGTTGCTCTGCTTAGCATCTCGTGCATTATTCCTGGGAAAACCAAAGTTTGTCAATAAAAACCACTGGGAGAAAATAAAGATGAATGATCCATGTGGTGGTGAAAGAATTAAGAGGAAGAGCGTTGGGACGCTGGCAGACGTAATGGAGGTTGGAGGGGACCCAACAGACTCACCACTGTGTGCAGCTCAGAGGACGCAGCGGCCCGTTCTCTCTGCAATGTTTTATTCAGACTCGCTTTCAAAACTACACTGCTCAACACTTAAGATATATTCCTCCCGTCAAGTATCAGTCGATCACATAAGTAGAGTTTCACCAACCAGTGCACAAGTGATATTGGGGAAATGCTGCTCAGTCATAAATTCTGTCCTCGGAAACTTAGATAGATGAAGGTGAAGGTTCTGAAAGGATACAACAAAGTCGTGTTTAGTGACTCGTTGATGTAATAACCATACGGACGCCCGTTGAGATTGATGATTTCCCCCTGTTTTCATCTGAACTTAAATGTTGAAATAACGGTTAGCGCTGCCCAGAGGAGAAGCTTGGAGAGCTCAGCTAATCTCATTAACTTTGTGCAGTGTTTTATGGTTATGATAGGATAATGAACTGTTACATTCACCTCAAACATCATTTACTGCACGACAATCGCCGTGGTACACACGCCATGAAGCCGTCTGCAATTAGCTCCCCGACACAACGACATCATCATTAAGAAGTTATTACCAGAGCAGAGGACGGCAGTCGAGCTGGTCTGACTGATCCTCTTGCAGTAGGTATTTCATTCCTCCATGACATCATGGGCCCCCGGGGAGCTCAGAAATCCATTAGGTGGTCGTCAGCGAGGGAGGGATCAGAGCAGGATATGAAGGATGTTCAACAACGTGTGTGATCATCAGGGTTTGAGTCCCTCCACAGCCACAGACTGCGGATTTGTTGTCCAGTATGCAAATAAAGTCGATCAAATATTTGAAAATATTTACACAAGTTTGTTCCTGCATCAAGTTAAAGTATTTCAATTATTTAATCGTACAAATTAAGAGCGTCTCTTTTGAAAGAAGTGTGGAAAATTTAAACCGCCTGCAGAGAGTAAGCGATGCAGCGGGCTACGTCCAGCTGCGCTACGTTCTGCCACAAGGTTTGCTCCGTCGTGAGCGCAGCCATGAGCAGCAGTACTCAAAAGAGAACTACAAGATCTCAGGAGAACTACAAGATATCAGGAAACTACAAGATCACATGAGAACTACAAGATCACACGAGAACTACAAGATCACAAGAGAACTACAAGATCACAGGAGAACTACAAGATCACAAGAGAACTACAAGATCATAAGAGAACTACAAGATCACATGAGAACTACAAGATCACAGGAGAACTACAAGATCACAGGAGAACTACAAGATCTCAGGAGAACTACAAGATCATAAGAGAACTACAAGATCACATGAGAACTACAAGATCTCAGAGAACTACAAGATCACAGGAGAACTACAAGATCTCAGGAGAACTACAAGATCACACAGGAATATAGAGAAAACAAGGTACAAAGAATATGTTGCTTTGTCTTTGAGAGGACGATTTTTTGTTCATGCAGTTTGTACGTCATGTCGATGAAGTGATAGAACATACTATCGGCAGTCTGAATGTTGTGTTTTACTTTGAAATTGACCGGACGCTCAGTGCGTTTCCTTGTCTGACTTCCTGTCTGGGTCATTTTATTCTATTCAGCTTGGCGCGAGCTTCCAGCGTGCAGGAGCTTTCGGCGCGTGCTTGAAAAGTGGAAAACTTCATGTTTGCTTATTACGTATTTAAAATGGAGCAGAGTGGAGTGGCGCTGCAGAGACTGGCGCTCTGCGTGTCGTGGAAACACAATCATTGCTTAGAGTGGGAGGGAACAGCGCTGAAGGAAAGCACACACAGACTTTGTGGAAGTGCGGTTAGGCCAGTGATATACGAGTCAGGAAGTCCAGACCAGGAAACAAAGGAAATCATTTACAAATATTCTTTTTTTTTTTTTTTAAGATTTATTTTTGGGCTTTTGTGCAGAGATAGGACAGTGGATAGAGTCGGAAATCAGGGAGAGAGAGCGAGGAATGACATGTGGCGGGGGGCCACGGGTGGAAGTGAACCCGGGCCTCCTGCTTGAGACGACAGCCTCAATACATGGGGCACGTGCCCTAACCACTGCACCACCAGCGCGCCCCTACAAATATTCTTGCTAAGAGTTTATTGTTTGCAGTGTAAACGATTTCTCCGTTTCATCATCCAACTTGTTCTCTTTGTGCTTTTTTCTATCAAATTCTGGTTTCAATGCAAATTATCACGTTTTTAAATCCATATTTTACACGACATCATGAGGTTATAAGAGCAACAGAAAAAGTGTTCATGTCAGCTCTTCTTTGAGATATAGGAGATCTGACAGCCACATATTTCCTTTAGATTTATTTTTTATGAATTTTTGAAGTCAGATTACTTTGCACATGAACATGTCCATCAATCCGTCCATCCATCAATAGATGATGAGATAGGCCGAGTGATGGGCTGACATCCGACATGCATTTTACATCTCTGCTGGATTTATGCATTAATAAAGGAGTATCTTTTCAGTTTTCTTTCCTCCAGAATTTCCACCAGTTGCAGCATCCTGACATTAGAGAAGCATTGATATTAAACACAGTTGCTGGTCTTGTGCTCGGTTTTCCTGCAGGACTTCCGAGGATCACGGTTGATTTGACGATGATTAATTGATGCTCGGGAATGCTAAAAGCAACTTCTTTGATGTTCCTTTTCCCTCCTCTAGCTGTTCTGCTGTTCGTCCGCTTTTGCGTCATTTGCATCATTTCATCATCCGTCTCTTCTGAATCAAGTCTCATGAAGACATGCCATCTGTTGGAGGTCAAGGGGTACTGGGATCTGGGCTCTGGGCTCTGTGAGGTAATGTGTGCCACCAAGAGATTAAAGCCATGTAAACGCCGGACCTCTGCAGGAGATCGGACTGGATTAACCCCTGTGCTGCCAACTGTGAGGAGCTGCAGGAAACACATCCTTCAGATATCTGACAGTAAAAAAATGACTTTAAAGCTACTGCGAGGACTTAGCTTAGCTGCTTAAGAAACACACTGAAATAAATATCGATGACTCTTTACGAACTATAAAAATAAAAGTAGTAATTTATAACGCCTGATACCGCTTCCAGGGTGAAGGTGACGATGTTGAGCTGCACGCTGCCAAAACTCACGCTGTAAAGATTCATGATGAGTTATACGTTTTTACTGTAAAAAGATCAATATGTAACTCTGCCCCCAAGTGTTTAAAATGGGTACTGCAGTCTAAATTCTAAACATTGTAGAGAGCTGTCTCTCCTCTCGCAGGTTGCCATGTGGTGGACACTGAAGCTTCAGTGTTTATCCAGCTCTGCATCGGTCTGTAAACCTTTCTGTGTTCTAACCTCTCTCCATTTTTTAAAAGCATCTCTAATATTGATCCTAGTTTGAGCACGTTTCTGCTCGTGGAGCTTATTAGAAACATGCAGAGGCTTTTTAGGTCGGATACAATCACTTCTATCTGAACCAGTTCTCTTGACTGCTTCCATCATACAACACCTGTTGGTTTGACCTGATAACTGGTCTCGCAAACTGAGGGGGTGCCTTAAAACCGCCTACCTTCTCTGGTCCAAACAAATCCAGAGCATTCAGGACCAGAATCTAAAGTTAGAAGGAGGACATACTGGCTGCTGCATTGTTGTCAGAGAAGCCAGCACTTCAACATAGCATGTTTCTTTAATGTCTGATCATAGAGTAAGCTCACTTCATAATTTCACTCACTACACATCTCACTGAAGTCCTTTAAGTTAATTGATTTCTCCATACGCATGCTAATGGTCGGGTGAGTTTGCAGTATGCAGTTTAAAGTATGCACGCAACAGATATGTTCAAGGCTGTTCCAAAAACGTTAATTAAAAGTCATGTTTATAAAAGCTTTCTAAAAGAGAAAGTAAAGTTTGGCTTTTGCACATTTCCTGGTTCCAGCCTTGAATTTGTTCCCTCAGGAAGCACTCTCTGTTTCACATTTGAACTTTATCCGTTACTCCATTAGCAGGTGAAAAGCTCCCAATTTTTGTCCTGCATTATTGATAAAGTGTTCACGTTGCAAGCTCAGTCAGCCTAACGGACGACCCGACCACTCAAACACTTTGCTATTTCTGACCACATGCTCCAAGCGTCTCCGAGAGGCCCCTCTTCAGTGTTATCTCTGCCGTCTGAATAAGAAGGGGTCTCTGCCTCCTTATCAGTTTGTCCGTTACATTCTTGGCAGCAGTGGTCAGACAAAAGTCCATTTATGGACATAGGAATAAAGCCCACGCTGTGCCCTACTGACCCACAATGCACCAGGGCTTTATAAAAACCCCTGGACAGAGAGCGAGAGGTTAAAAGCTTTTTGTTGCGTTCTTTTGGGTCATTCATTCTCTCAGTAGTTGTGCTGAGGAGCTAATTTTGCACGTCTTCAACAATGGCATCCCTGACCTCTTCCAGCCGCAGGTCGTCCTCGTCCTTCCACTCATCGTCGCGTTACAGCACGTCCAGCTCCTTCAGGTCGGAGGGCTCACTGGGCGGATCCTCATCTGATTCTCTGGATCCACTTTTTGAGCCGTTTCTTGACTCTGCTGATTACTCCGGTCTGTTTGCAGAGGAGGGCCCCGGAGGTCCAAACTGTTTGGCCCCCTTCAGCAGACACAGCCGATCCTCCTTCGGACAATCTGGTAAGGACGTTTGAGAGAGGAGGTGGTGGAGTTGGAAGTCATTTCTGCAACTACAGATTTTATTTCAGAAAGAAGTAGGTGTAATGAAATGTTTGTATCCAGGAGGGATCGTATCACATCAAACCTGTAGCGTTATGATCACCTCCAGTTGAATCCAGATATTCCAGGACATGTGTTTGAGAAGGTGGTCTGGGCTTTCTGGGGTGTAAATGCTCAAAAATAAAATGAGAATCAGAGCAGAGAGTCCTTCAACTTAACCATACTCTGATTCAGTCTTTCCACACTGTTGATTATTTTAGTACTATAACATATTCTCACACATGCCGCAACCACCTGTGTTTAAAATTAAGCCAATGTTAGTGTCCAGTTGAGGATCGCTCTAAAAGAAGAGGACTTTTTTAGAGAGGAAAGGGGGGGGGGGGGGGGGGGGCACACGATGTCGCTAAATGTAGTTAGAGGGGTCGCAAGATTCCTTCCAAAAACATATAGAAATAGGCAATGGTTTAAAATTGCATATTTCACCAATTAATTTGAACAAATATACAAAAAAATTGTTTCTTACAATAAATTACAAAGATAATATGATGGTATTGGGCTGTTGTGTGGTGTTCCAAAGCCAGTGTTTGGAGAAGCCTAGTGCGTCAAATGTTTAAACCAACTCAAGAGACAATGGGGGTCCCCATTCTTTATTACCTTTATATTGGGGGTTGAGGGGCTAAAAAGTTTGGGAACCCCTGCTCTCGCCCACACTCGAAGAGCGTCACCAATGACGGAGTTTATAATGAGAGTTTACTTACCGCTGAATGAGACATGAGACGACGTAGTTTCTACACAATGTAAGAGATCAGCTGAGGTCCACTTCTGGACCAACGGCGCTCGTGCATGTAAGTGAGGGGCGTGGCTTTAGAGGGAGCACAGAGGGTGGGGGGGGGAGGGGTGTAGACAGATTTTGCAGCATGCTGTTCATCACCTGATCTGACCAGACCCCGGGGCAGCTGAGACGTACTTAAAGAATAACGGAATAGAAATAACTGATCTTATGATTTATGGTCTGTTTTGCTTACATAGCTCACATAGAGACAACAGTCTTACAGTCTTAATTCGGCCTGTGTCATAACCGGCTCAAACACTTGATTTTAATGGTACATCAGAAGTCTGACTCATCGTCTCTCTCATCATGCATTAAGAGCTCCACTGGAGCCGTTAGTGCCTCGTTCATGGTCCCCCCTTTTGGAGCATTTTCCGAGGTTCAGGGTGTTGAGACTCTCTTCATTCATTTCCTGCAGCAGCGGGAGAGTAGAATTCATTTCTCACATTACAGTGGTGGGTTGATTGAATGTGAGAAAGAAAGAAATGCCACAGAGAAGAAAAAGACCCGCGGCTCCGAGAAAGTAATGAGCCAGGGTCGTAACAGCGTCCATGCTCTGTGAGAGAAGAGACGCGGGTCGGCTCCAGACCTCAGCTACTGGGTCACAGAAAGAGCAGAACTAAAGGTGGAAAAGGCGTCGTGCGGCCTCTTACATAAAACACGGCTGCTTTTATACAGTTCTACTGCGGCAGCACAGAGCATTAACAACCACTATAAAAAAAAGGTTGATGGCATGTGTGGCTCCACAGGCCGATTAAAGCAGAATCAATAATCGTGTTTAATTTGATTTCACTGACTCACGTGGAAGATTCCAGCACCCACATGTCCCATCAAATAAAAGAGAAGATGAGACGTGTTAGATGCTGTAGTTCAGATCTGCACACATGCACTAAACTAAATTTACATCCAGAACAAACATTTCAGTCTCTAAGTTCTCACGTGTTTACTAGTCCCAACATGAAGTTCTAAAAAACTCTATCTGAGCGTCGCAGCTTGGCTTGAGAATGAAGGCACAAAAAGTGATCAATCATTATATTAGGTGCATAGCTGTAATGCACCAGTTAACACGCACTAATTTTCAGATATCAGTGTGTCCATGACCTCTTCTCGTCAACAAGACTCAACAGACAAATATAAACTGTAGATGGACTTGAGCTTGTATAACCCTTTTCTAGTCTTCTGACGACTCAAAGCACTTTTCACACCTCAGGTCACACCTACACATTCACACACTGATGGTAGAGGCTGCTGAAGAGTCCATCAGAAGCAACTAATCCCATTCACACGCTGCTGACAAAGCAATTCCGGGTTAACTGTCTTGCCCAAGGACACATCAGACATGTTTCTGCATAAGCTGGGGATTGAACCCCCGACCTCTACCAGCTGACCCACAGCCACCCACTCAGCCCCTGTCAAAATGACCTAAAGTACTTTTATTTTGAAATATAAACAAGCTTTTGAAATGCATTTTGAAAGTAATGCTTCTACATAATAAAACCATAGACTGAATATTACTGGACGAAGCCTGAGCCTGAGTGTGGTTTCCATGCTGGAAATGCTGTTTCAGTCTAACTTTCAGTCAACCTAACGACAGGCTGAGAGCTGGAGCTGAGGAGGGTTTTAAGTCTCCTGACAAACCGTTACACCGCGCCCACCTGTCAATCATGTCAGCTACACGCCTTATTGTGAATAACTCTTATCCTTCATCAAATCAAAAGTGATGAGTCATCAAAACATTCACCCGCCGTACAGTGTGTGTCGATCAAGACATGAGCTAATCACAACTATTTGGTTTTTTGAACCAGGCTGTAAACATGTTAATCTCTGCTGTAAAAACAGGCTTTTTAGAATGGGTGTGTATGTGACTTCCTGTGCTTCTGCAGCCAGCCTCTAGTGGACACTCAAGGAACTGCAGGATTTTACACTTCTGCATCAGCTCAATATTTCAACACTGGAGGTTGCTGCTTGAATAAAACAAAATAAAAGTTAGATTTAGCCTTTTATGGAAACAACAACAACAAGAGGACATGCATCCAAACATGTTATTCTACTTTTACTAATTCAATGATTCAATGTTTGTTCAAACATTTGCAGTCGTTTACAGCACATTTCATATGTCGTTTCCTTCTAGCTCCTGCAGGTGGCGCTGTGACAGCCAGGGAGAGCAGTACAGGTGGCGGCGTGCGTTGCCTGGGGGACAGCTACTACATGTCAGCTGATGTCAGCCAATTTGAGCCGCATGACATCGTGGTGATGGCCTACAACCACCACGTCGTCATTCATGCCCAGAAGGTGTGTGTGTGTGTGTGTGTGTGTGTGTGTGTGTGTTTCTGCTTCTGCCCTTTGTGTGTGTACGTGTGTGTGTGTGTGTGTGTGTGTTTCCTAAAGTCTGATCCTGTGAGCACTGACCAGGTTTAACGCCTTCTGAGGTGCTGCTTGTCAACAGGAAAGGCAGACAACTGTTTGGGACCCCAGGCCAGCAGGGGGCCCCAGAGTGCTGACAAACTCTAAACCACCAAACGTGCAAATTTTGCAATGACAATAGAAAAACCTCTCTAACGGGGTAACTTCGGTCATCAGTCCCTCTCGTTGCGCCGCTCAGCATCTCAAACATTGTTAAACATAAGAATACAAACTGAATGTCTGTGTTTTGTTATGACGTGTTTTGAAAAGTACATTTGCAAAGAGATATGTCCATATCATTATAAACGCACAAGAGACCTCAGCACCTCATGACAGAGAGCATGCGACAGCTGCTGAAAGGTACCGCCTCCTTCTCTGGTCCAGCAGTTTCGGAATTAGCCCTGCTGTCAGTTACAGTCGAGACAAGCTGCTTGCTTCCTGTCTCTCAATCCTCTCTCTCTGCTTCGTCTCTCCCCCCCTCTCCCTCTCTCTCTCCCTCTCTCTCTCCCTCTCCTCCCTCTCTCTCTCTGCTCCCTCCCTCTCTTTCTCTATGCTCCCCCACAGTTTGACATTAGTCATGTTTAAAAGGTGAGAGAATAGAGGAGAAGAAGGAGGGAATGTTTCTGCAGCAGTGAAGGAGGATCATTTTAACTCGGGTCAGCGGAACTATTCCATGTTGATCTCCTCTCTCTCTCTCTCTTTACCAACTGTGCAGCACTAACCCCTCACACCTCTTTCTTTCACTGGTTCTCACCCTCTTTTCTCACCCTCTCTTGGCCCTGTTGCTCCTCGAGTGTTCGCTGACCTTTCCGCTCGCCCTCCTCCTTCAGATTAACCCCTCCTTCCATGTTCAGCTCCATCTTTTTTTCTGATTTTTTTGGCTTTATTTTTCAGATCCTCGACGACGGAGGCGTCAGTGCCACATTCACCCATAAGTCCCTGTTCCCAGAGGATATGGACCCCTTGTCTGTCAGTGGAAACATTCATCCTGATGGCACTCTGGTTGTGAGCGTCCGCCGGACAGCAGCACTGGGTGAACCGGAGCCCCCGGCTGTCCCAATCTATCGCAGTGAAGCTCATCTTTGATCCACCCCTGTACTTCACTGTACATCACCTCCTGATGTTTAGTGACTGGCAGATGATGAAGTTGTGATTTTTAAATCTTAAAGTTTGTGAAGGAGAAGTTACCGCTGAATGGATGCTAACTGTTTGTCCTAATAATCAGTCCAGCAGACAGACTGCTTCTATATTTGTGGTTAAAATGTTTGATCCCGAGAGGATGACTCCCAGTGATGACAGTGAGCCTGGGCACCTCTGTCTGGTTAAAGTTTCCCTTTATCAAGATGGTTAAAGGGCGAGTGGGACAACTGCATGAACTTGATTGTTTGCAAAATGTATAGATGATAACATACGACACATATCGCTCCCCATATTCATAAAACTTGAAGAAGTCTTGTGCTGCTGAGAGACGGCTGCAACGTGTATTTTTGTATTTTACCAACGACTGTATGAAACATGGACGTATAGTCTCAGTGACGTCACCCTTTGGTTTCTGAAGAGGCAATTTTGAAGCCCAAGATCTCAGCTGCCATGTTGTAAATTCTGTCACAACCTTGGAGAGAAAGAGAGAGTAAAATCCTCCCCAATGATGCAAACACAACCCTAACCCTACTAACCCTAACCCAACTCTTAGGCTGGATACAAACAGAATTTATGAACTTTAATATAATAATTCACCCTGTACAGTTTTTACCAATAAACAAGTGAGCTCTGTGGATCAGAGTCCTGATTTGTTCTAGGCTGTTAACATGTTGATTTTTGTGTTTTAAAACAGGTCCTCATAGCATGAAGTGTCGTTTTTATCCTTACGTATTGGCTTCATTTTTCAACAAGAAAGAACAACTGCCGCTTGATCTGCAAATACCATAAAACTTCTCCTAATAGCCCAGCCGTTTATAAACCTCAGTCCATATACTGACCTTGCCTTTATTTAGGACGGGCATGAAAACAAGACAGGACCTTTGAATCATCTTCAAACATAACTTGTGCAAAACTAAGGAGCCCCAGAAGTCTCAAAAAGTTAAAAAAATACATTATATCTTTTGCGCTATAAAAAAGACTATAACACACTAAATTTACATCAGAAAGAATATTTAGCTGTGCAAAATTAGGATGACAAAAAACAAAATAAATACATCACAAATTTTAACTTACCTTGTAAAGCAGCATGCAGACCTGTGTCACGTCCAGCACACATACGAGCATCATTCTGTCGCTCTTGCACAGATTTTTGTTCATCATTGGTTTTTGTGTCTTGCTACTTTTTCTCCTTATTTAGGATCCACAAACTATTCAACACTAAATGCATTGGTGCTCCATTGATTTGTCCAAAGAAGCAGCAACAACAGGCGAATAAAAGGGACTGCAGCTTTTATTTAAGATTTATTTTTGGGCTTTTTGCCTTTAACTGACAGGACAGAGGATAGAGCAGGACATCTGTGTGTGTGAGAGAGAGGGGGGGGGGTATGACATGCAGGACAGGAGGCCACAGGCTGGACTTGAATCCAGGCCGCCCGGTCGTAGGATATTCTTCAAGATGGCACCAAATTTCAATATTCTTTAAGCTCGTCTATATCCAGCAACAAGTGTTATCTTGAGGCGCTTTACAAAAGAGCAGATAAAAGACCAGAAAATGGGATATGGGGAGATGGGATAAGATGCAGGAAGGATTTCTTCTTTGTATTCCTTGCGTTCCTGTTGTCCACACTTCCTGACCGCTGAGGTGGAGGTCGGAGCACGCCGTGCATGAAGGAGAATTATGTAAAGCCGGGTTTTATGGCCACTGGAGGGTAAAATATATCAAGAGTTCTCTCACCAAAATCTTGCCCTTTTATTTAAACCGCCCACTTTCAAAGTTTGCAGAGAAAAATAAAAAAGTGTGATGATGACATAAATATTAAGAGATATCTCTGTTGTGATGTTAAAGTTCATTAAGAGGACTAAATGTCACGTTTATTTTCCATGTCACAGCTGGTTAAATTCTCCTGACAGGATGTTTAAGATACAGTTTATAAAAAGGGGTTTTAACTTCGGGTTATTTTGTTGCTTTCATCTGTACAATCCAAAACATGTTGTGTTGAAGAAATCTTTAAATGCATGCAGTCCCCTCCTCTCATGAATGTTTCAAAGCTTCTGCTTTAAAATAATAAGAAATAAAAGTTGTTTTTAATTCTGCACAAATCCCACAGCTTGCCTTGGGTTGTTTGTTTTTATGACTTGAGCACCACCCGTGCACGGAGCCCTTTGCAAGCCGGAGAAGGAACTTGTATTGACATTTTTCTCTGCTTGTTAGGAGGTGTGGCGTTGAAGAAGACACATGCACACACACGGAGACAGAGAGCGCCGCGTGCCAGTCTCCAGAGGCCTGTCTGTACCTCTTACCAGCCATTACATCAATCTGTCTCCAAGTGACACCAGCACTTCCTACACTGTAGCTGAGAGCAGGAAGACTTTTTTTTTCTTTCTGAGTGACACCTATATTAGGTATTCATCAGAGCGAGGGTGGCGACGGCACGGACAGATGGCGCCTTGCTCTACGTCGCTCATGTGTTTCTAAGATCATTCATTGCAACACGGACGAGCCGCTGCAGCTGTGCTTTGATCCAACTCAGCTCTGACTTTCGCGCTCAAATATGCACGCTGCGGCTCGCTGCCGCACACTTACACGTGTTGATAACCCAGTTGTGTAACAGGATATCGAGGTTTTAGTGTCACATCACTACAGCTACTAACCGGCAGTGAGATTACAGTGGATTATATGGGATGTACGAAGCACAATAGAAGCTTTTAAAAAAATGGTAAAGGATCACTACAGATCACACACACACACACACACACACACACACACACACACACACACACACACACACACACACACACACACACACACACACACACACACACACACACACACACACACACACACACACACACACACACACACACACACACACACACACACACACACACGTCTCACTCCATGTCTCCAGAGAAAGTCTCATACTTCCACCTGAAGCTCTCCGAGGGACCAAGCTGCAGCCTACTTAATGAATGAGCTCATTTAGCTTGTTAAGCTTTAACTCTTAACTCTCCAACCATTACAGTCCAGATGCTCTCCTCTCATTCCCTCACTGCAACACAACAGAACGAGAGGAGTGTGTGTGTTTGTGGGTTCTGTGAAGGAGGATGCACCAGAAGGAGTCGAACACAGGGAAACAGGGACACAAGAAACAAAATCAGAGTCAGTGAGAAAAGTGTGGGGATGTTGAGGTGGATACAGATAGAAAAGCAAATCCAGGAACATTGTATTTGGGTTCAGAGGTGTATTTGTGGAGGTAAACTGTTCAGAATTAGAAACCACTAAACAGCTCTCGTAAAGAAAGTATGTGCGACTTTCCATAAAAGCCTAAATAAGTTTTATTTTGGTTTATTCAAGCAGCGACCTCCAGTGCTGAAAAATGAAGCCAATGCAGAAGTGTAAAAATCCTGCAGTTCCTGGAGTGTCCACTAGAGGCTGGCTGCAGAAGAACAGGAAGTCACATACACACCCATTCTAAACAGCCTGTTTTTACAGCAGAGATTAACATGTTTACAGCCTGGTTCAAAAAAACCAAATAGTTCTGATTAGCTCATGTCTTGATCGACACACACTGTACGGGGTGAATGTTTTGATGACTCATCAGTTTTGATTTGATGAAGGATAAGAGTTATTCACAATAAGGCGTGTAGCTGACATGATTGATAGGTGGGCGCGGTGTAACGGTTTGTCAGGAGGTTTAAAACCCTCCTCAGCTCCAGCTCTCAGTCTGTTGTTAGGTTGACTGAAAGTTAGACTGAGACAGCATTTCCAGCATGGAGACCGCCATCGATGGGACTCCAGCGCCCCCTGCAGGAACAGACGGGTGAAGTCTCTCAGGCTTCAAACATTCATATTTACAGTCTGTGGAATAAACCTGCATTTTTGTATTTACCTACAATAACTGCAACAGCAATAGAGGTTTAATCTTTGAGTCAGATCGGGCGGCTTGAATTTCAGGGCATTTAAACTTAATCCTGCAGCGGTGAGTATTTCAGGTGGACCTTGTATCCAATCACAACGCAGAGCTTGTGCTACAAGTACTGCATAAAGCAGTTCACTCTCTGAGCCGATGAAAAGATTTGGGGAAAAATGAAATAATTCGATCATTATTGCGTTATAACTGTGTTTGCTGCCCCACTGGGAGCATCAGCATGAGAGAAATACGGTGCTCCAGGAACGAAGACGACAGATGGGAGAAAATCACAGCAGCAGAATAAAAAAACACACTCAAAGGAGTCATCTTCCTGTTTGTTAAAATCTCATTTATTCGTCCCTGATATACAAAACAAAGTTTGTTGGCTTGTATAAGAGCGCTGACAACAGTCCATACAGCAGGAGTCACTACAGAGCCTCTAAACACCAGACGCACGGAAAGTTTCCCAAAGTCGAAATGAAACAATACCTCCGGGCGTCAAAGAGCCGGTGAGACTTAGGGAAACCTTCCGTCTAACAGATCTCGTTCTCACACGCAGGCTCACGTGTGAGCGTCACGTCTCCTCGTATTCGAACATCTTTTTACACTTTTCAGGTTTCTTTACAAAAATAAGGTTATCTTGCATTCATGGCATCAATTAAAATGGGGTTACAAAGTGAGATGAACAACTGTTATTGCACAAATTTGATTACCTACAAGTAGATGATCCGTAAAAACAACAAAAGACCCCCCCCCCACCCCCCCAAAAAAAATGAACATTTTCTACTTTGATTAATACACACTAATAAATACGCCTCCACCTCGGGTTGATGTCGGTCTGCTAGAAAACAAGATGAAATGTCTGCGAAGGGGAAGGTGGTCTCTGGCAGAACGCAGAGTCCTAAAAATCGATGAAAGGCTCAAACAAATGAACAGAACCAGATCAGACGAGTGGATCTCAGTCAGTCCCCGGGGTGAGCAGATAAGGGGGGGGGGGGGACAAGACGTCAGGTCGCCATGGTGATAATTGCACACTGAGCTGACAAATCATCAACCCTGCTCACATTTGTGTGTGTGTGAAAAGTGCCTCGTCCACATGCATAAGACTAGAAAAACAAACACTTGTCGATTGCTTTTGAGAAGGAGAGTTGATGCAGGCACTTGTGGAATGGACGCCAACTGACCTCCTGCAGGTCCCTTCAAAGGTCAAAGTTCAAGGAGAATTCGAGCATTATATGTACCTAATTTGACATATTTTAGGGTCTCAATTAAGCCTGATTTAGACTTCTGCGCAGTAGCATGCCCTTTAGGCAGGTACCTATAGAGAAGTCTACGCCTGCAACCTGACATGCACTTCCATAAAAATTCAACTACACGATGAAGCTACGCATACGACAAGCCTTGTGATTGGTCTACCATTTCCCCTCCTGATAGCGAGTCTAACTATGACGGGAAGATGAATATATGTGAACCTGTGTGTTTAACGAATGCTAACTGGTAGCCTGAGCTAACAACACTGTCCAGCTGAACATCTCCTCCGATGTTTAATCAGCTGCTGCTCGATATGCGTCAGCTCCAACTCTGACATTGTACGCTTGGTTGCAGTCGCCACGGTTTCCTGAACGTAAAACCAGCTGAGAATTTGGTCGAAGCAACTAGCGGTATAACTAGCATAGAAATTGCTCTAGCATTGTAGGTGGAGTATTGCAGAGCTAGGCGGACTCACCGATGCACAAATATGAAGTGCTCAGGGTGGTGTAGGCCACTACAGCGTTGATTCAACTCAGAAGTTTAAACCAGGCTTGACTTGAATTGTCTTCATCATTATCTTAAAGTTCTGTCGCTATAGAAATCCTTTCTTTGAAGATATTTTCACTTTGAAACCACCAAAGATATTTAAGCCGTTACAGCTGGACGGATCTACAGTCGTCCATTGAAGAACTTCTTGTACCTTTTTAGTCTTTGAGATCCAGAAATTCAATTTAAAAATCAATAATTCTCCTTCAATTCGTCCCTGACTTCACAAACATATTTCATCTTTGCTTCCTCGCCAGGAAGCCACGAGCAGCCTTCAGCGTTATTTGCACTTGTCTTAGTAGAAATGTTTCCGACAGCATGTCAAAAGATAAAAAAAAACAAAAAAACAACCCAAAAACAAAAACACAGAATTCAAATCAAACCTTCAAATCTTCACGTGATACAAATAGAAAACATGTTATAAAACCAGCCCCCGTAAATCTCTTTCAAACAGAGAGTAGTCAAAACTTTGAGATTAGTTCATTAAATTATGATTCTATATTACACACATGATGATGTTAAATATATTAATCTATGAGCACAACTCGCTAACCCAGCCCCGCGTAAATAAAGCTCATTGCATGAATGGAAGACACCGATCAAAGTGGAATTATTCGGACACTGAGTATAAAATAAGAGACTGTAAGGACGAACGACAAACAGGCACATTACGGCAAACATCATTCATACGTCCCGTGTTCGACTTCTGTCAAGTTTCTGTTTTTATTTTTGGTACATTACGATCGTATAAAATCTCACGTGCACTCTCACATGCAGAGCCATGCTTCTTTACTTTTAGTGGTTTGCAGCAAGACAGGAAACCACCAAAACTTAAACTCATGCATAGCAACAAATGCTAAGTTAGCACAATGAAGCCGAACTATGAGTGCATATTTAAGGCCTCTGAACAGCAGAGCTAGAGAAGGTAGAAGATGACATTTAGTTTAAAAACAAAAACATTACAAATATATTTTAAAGGCAGGGTCGGTCATTTTCTCAAACTAGCATGATTTTGAAAGTAGCATTCCCTCAGTGTTCCGTCTGCACCAACCAAAAGCCACGCCCCCTCACTTAAATGCTTGAGCGCCGTTGCTCCAGAAGTGGACCTCAGCTCATCTCTTACATTGTGTAGAAACTACGTCGTCTCATGTCTCATTCAGCGGTGAGTAAACTCTCAGTATAAACTCTGTCATCAGTGTGGGCTAGAGCACGCAAGACTTAGAGAGCGAGCAGACAGGGAGGCGTCTGATTGGTTCATCAGATTGGTACCTCGTGGCAGACATTGGTTGTAGTTTTTAAAGACTTACAACTGCTACAGATGACGGATTTTCTTTGTTCCTTTTTCAGAGAACATGAGTTATAAATTTCTGACAATTTCAACCAAAATCTGAAAAAGTGGATCTGGAGGAAATGACCAACCCTGCCTTTAAATAAAGGAGTGTGTCGTTGAGGATGTGTTCGTGGTCAGTGGCTTAAGGGAGTAAATACATGGAAGAGGAAGAAAAGACGGAGGGGGAGAAATCAATACGCAGAGAGCTCGCCGACAAGCAACACGCATTATGTAAGACATGAATAATTAAATACACACAGTATATGTGTACATCATCCGTCATGTCCGAGCGCTCGCTGAGTCAGTAACAAGGCCGCCATTTAAACATTAATGGCTCCAGCTCTATGCTTCATCGCTCCGCCATGATTGGCTCGTAGCAGTAATGTCACAATCATTCTGACTTTGACTTCAAACGTTGCTGACTCTCACCAGGGGCGTGTTCAGACTTTTTGGACTGGGGGGGGCGCTGACTTTAGCAGGGGTGGCCTGAAGTGGGATGTCAAAATATCAATTATTTAACCCTTTCTAACCTCGCCAATCCTGCCTATGTTATAACAAAAGATAATGGAAACATTAGCTTCATCTTTGACACAAAATAATATTTATATCAAAGTCAGAATTTAAAGGACTTAAAAATGTGCATGCAAACTACCCAACGTTTGGTCCCGACAAATCGTCAGTTAATTCATTGAAAGTTCGACAGAGTGCGTTCCTTTCCTGACCAAAACCGTTTTTCTTCTAATGTAAAGTTAGCTGTCTTTAACATGAGGCTCTACAGGGATTGACTGACTTTAAGAGCAGCCCCCAGTGGTCATTAGAAGAACTTCAGTTTTTTGGTTCTCCAACACTGAACTCATTTTTGGGCTGCTGTCGCCAAATGTATTTAGCATCTTTTGGCTGTGGGCAATCAGGCAAAGAGTTGGAGAGTTTGAGGTGGATGCTCTCCAATCACTAACACGGTTTCTTTGTGTGTTTGTTTGACATGCCAAGATCTTTCTGCACTGCGCATTTCTTAGATTAAATTGTAAATTACATAGTTGTTACAATTATTGTACAACTAAAACGATTATCATCCATCTGGCAACATGGATCATTCGTCCCTCACGTCAAAGATCTGCAATAATCAGGCTGCTCATGTAAGCTATGGAGTGTTTATGTGAATGTTAACAACAAGGTCTGCAATCTGCACTGAGTCATTACATCATACAGCCGGTGGAGGGGAGGGGGTAATCTGTGTCACTGATAGTAATGGAGGTTAGCGAACATGGAAATCAAAGGCAGATTGATGAGAGGGCCCAGAGCAGCTGGTTAGGTAATGATGTCTTCAGTCTTTCAGCCATCCATTTGCTCCCTGTTCTCCGTCTCTCCCTCGCTTCCTGCCCTCTCCATCCGCCCCAACATTCAGACGAACCGTTATTAACAGCTAAATTTAGATAAGCAGAAAACTCTCTGAGTGCATCGCCGCCGCCGTCTCTTTGTTTGCCAGTTTTCTAATTTGTCTTTGTGATGTAAGGCTGTAGCTACAGTATGAGAGGAGTATACGTTTTGAAAAGGGCTACAGGTGCTCTCGCCGCTGCCCAACGGCACGCTCGCTTGCATAGACGTGCTCTCAGTCTGACCATTAAAGGTCTTAAGCGGAGAAATGAGGACAAAACAAAACAAAACAACAGAAAAATAAGGCATCAGTCCCATAGTTCAATGCGTCTCAATCGGACAAACAGTGATTTACATTCCAGTTCAACCCAGACGACCTGATGAGCGGAAACGAAGAGTGAAATGTGTTTAAGATTTAAAAGGAACAAGTCTTTTGTACGGACGACTATCAGGGCCAGGGATGGAAAAAAAGAACGCTAATTTCTAGAAAGCCAGAAGCGAGGTATAGAAAATAAAAACACGCCAAAGGAAGTATTTTTTCAGATTTTGAGGATTTCCATTTTAACTTCAACATTTACCGTAAAACGTCTAATAAAAGCCCATCACAAGTTCAGGCCTAGTCCCTTTGAAAATCCTGGAGTTGCTGCACGTTGTGCTAATGAAGGCAGCTCTCAGTTAGAGGCTCCCGATGCGTTTAGTGTCCATTAGTTTGCAGTTAAAAATGAAAGCATTAAAACATTAAGATGGACTTCAACATCTGTGAGATAAAGATTGAAAGAAAAGAATGCTTGTAAGCGTTCCAGCTGTGCAGCAGGTCGGCATGCTTGACGCCTGTCTCAGTTAAAGGCAGGGTCAGATAATAAAGCCTGGGCTTTCAATTGGAGTTTTACGGTACTTTTTTCTGCTTTCTATTATCAAAAAGCTAAATTAATCTTGACTTTCTTGATTTCTTGATTCTTGACTTTCCAACTTTTTCTGTTTATTTCTTGTCATCTCTCACTCTTGTTCTTAAAGGTTTACATATTCTCCTCCTCTTCAACCAGTTTAAATTGGTCTCAGAGCTCCTTAAAACATGTGTGTGAAGTTTCTGGTTCTAAATCCACTCTGATCCTGTATTTGATCATGTCTATAAACCCCTCTATTTCAGCCCTGATCAGAACAAACTGTTTCTGTGTCTGTAGCTTTAAATGTAAATGAGCTGTGTCTGACCACACCCCCTCTCTGGAAGGGCTTTGGTGTCTTGGGCTATCTCACTCCATGTCCTATTGTTTACGGTGAGAAGGCAGACTCAGAGGGCAGAACAAACACCTAGCTGTGGGAGTGTCACCCACCTGGGGGAGGGGTTACTGCCCTTTGAGATATCATGAAGGGAAAATCTCCAAACGGCCTGTTTGAGCACACATTTTCTGAAAAGTGGAGCAGGCAAAAGATGGAGAGGATGGACTTTTCTCATCATTGGGGGGTTTGTAGGGAGACTAGAGACACATAATAGTGTTAGAGAAGCATGGTGAAGTGGATTTTGTTATTATGTGACCTTTAAAACTGAGATTTTATTTTTATGGACATTTAAACTGTATTCTCAACATTTTGATGCATAAATAGAAAATAATGTCGTCCCATCACCTTTGTTCTTTAGCCTGGCCCTAGTACTCGTCCGTATGTTTGCTCCCTCCCTCTTCATGCACACGCACGCACGCACGCACGCACACGCACACACGCACACACGCACACACACACGCACACACGCACACACTTACAGTATTCTTCCTTGTCATAGTTTCTGAATCTCTCTATTCAAGTGGAAGACTCTTTCCAAAATAAAACATTTTCAGGTTTAAACTTTGATCAAACTCTTAACGATACACAAGTCAAAAAGAAAAAAATCTGCTTAAAAAAATCCCTTTTTTTTTAAAGATTTGAACCCACTCCCTTTGTCGGAATCCACCGACACATGTCCTTTTTCACCCTAATCCACATTTGCTCTGCTGTGGGTTCCCAAGGTAAAATGGAGAGCAGGGCACATGGTTGAGATGTGCTCCACTCCCTCGTGGAGTGTCTGGCTTGGTCAGTGCAAGACTTCTGGGGATAGTACTGGTGATGACAGCGGGGGAAGGAGAGAGAGAGAAGCAGATGAGGAGAGAAATGAGGAGAGGCTGGCGTAGCAGTAGAACTCTTTCCAGAATTAAATATTGATCCTTAGCCCTGAGGATTTCTGCACGTTTGTGGCTTTGGGGGATTAAAGATCTCAGCGCCTCCTCTTCCTCCCCTTCTTCTCTTTTCCCCTCACTGGGACTTCTCATCAGACTCGGAGGGGGTGTGTTCGCGGGGCAGTGACATGCTCTTGTGGCGGTCCCACAGCTTGTGGAGCTCCGTGGCTTCGTTCTCGCTGCTGCTGGTGCCGCTGTCTCTGAAGCTAGCCAGCGGCGGACGCACCTTCACGCCTTTCACTGTCACAGAGCCCTCGATGGCCTTGCGAAGCTTGAAGGGAAGAGAACAAACCGTTAGATCTGAAGGCACAAATTCAGCCTGATGCAAAAACTTCTTGGTTGCTTTCACAGATAAAGTTTGGTGGACTGCGATTCATGGGTGAAGTTACGATCTTGATGCATGTTTCATTTGGGTTGGTTTGCTTTCACACTGCACTTTGTCAAGCCTGTCGAATGTTGTGTACCGGGTCACTAGTTGGAGCTGTAGCTGCTGCCATCCGGCCTAATGCTGAACTATGACCAGGAAGTAAACAACAGTACAGTGGAAGAATGGCATCATGTAGCGCGGCACAGTTTGTCAGTATTTAGATCAATAAAATGGAAATACAGTTATATGTCGGCTGTGTCAGGTTAAACTGACGAATCGACCGGAGCTATTTGTAACCACGGTTAGCACAGGTGTGTGGACGTTCACCTGCATGGAGGACAGAAGGCTGGTGATTCATTATTTAGTCATGGCCATTTGCATGTTTTAAGAAGCCATAGTGACATTTGACCTCCGTGAATAGGACAGAAGAACTGAAGACAAAGAGCTAACCTAAAAACAAAAAACATCAGACAAGAATACTATCACTATTCTTACTCAGAATAATAATGTGATGATTACACCTCTGTGACGTATCACCTTCAATCTGAATGTCATGGAGGTGTAATGGGGCGACCAAGTGACCCCCCCCTCTGTAGCGTTTTCAGAGGTAGTAACAGGTGTTCCAGAGGAGAGAGGGGATCAACTGAGCCAGCGGGGGAGAACAGCGCTGTGTGTGTGTGCATGTCTGACTGTGTGTGTATGTGGAGCTCCTGCTGTGCCGCGCTTCTGCAATGCTGAAATGCAATGTGACCTCACAGACTGGGACGCCATTACACACTATTACGCCGTCACAGAATCCGTATGAACGTACAAAGACGCAATGACGGCGGAGCTAAGTTACAGCGCTTTTGCAGAAACACAGTCTGAAGAGGGCGAATATTTCTACGGCGCTTCAGTTGGTCGGTAGTTCCGGTTTCAGAGTCTCCTCTGTGCTGCACAGTTCAGGCTTCTTTTCACAGTGCCTCATTAAACTGCTGCACACAGCTTTGTCATGGGCGGCCTCAGTGGAAATGAAACTGCTCGCTGGATGCTTCCCTGGCTCTACAGTGATCATGTCAGTACTTTACAATCTGACGCACACAAGCTATTTTCTCTTTTTTATAGAATGTAATACAGGGAACGATCGTGGTCAGAGGAAAGAAAGCACGGAGGCTGAGGTCGAGCTGACTTGTGCTCTCACCTGTGTTGGCTAAATTCTTTCACAGAGGAGAAACGAGAAACGGAAACGATTCCACATTTATTAATCTCTGCGGCTCTCCTCGCCTCCCGCATACCACAGCACTGAAAGTGGATTTAAAATGTTCCCTCACAGCTTCCGCTACAGTAACTACATAATGAAAATCAAAGAGGCTGAGACTGTTGGAGACAATTATTTTAGGACGTGGTTTCTGGAAACGGCCTGAATGACAGCAGCATCGTGTCACTAACATGTGGTTACAGTCGGCACAGATTGAGGCCAAGAATAGCAGAACGATTTCTTTAAATTTTACAAAAGACGAATATGAAGTATGATGTCCTTAAGGGGACTAATTAAAAATGGACTAAACCTGTTATATTTATATTTTTGTTGATTTCCTACATTACCTCAAATATTTCCAACACTTGTCAAAGCCAGAGAAATCCTTCATTTTGGAGTGGTAATGGGACGTGTTGTGTCGTGACGGCCGCCATAACAAACGCAACATGTTTATCGTTGCCGTGGAAATACTGAATGTTACGACAAAGACCATAAGGAAGCGTGAGCTGCTACTGAAAGCTGCCGTACTGTCGCTGTATGTGCTGCTGTGATAAAAACATCATGTACATTATACTCGGATACATTAGCTCGTCTGTAAACGTATTCTCTGCCTCAGGTCAATTTGACCCAGCCATCGTGACTACGGTCAATTGGGAGGTCGTTTTCATCGAGGGTGGGAAGGGGTGGAGTAGCAGAGAGCATCACTCCCATGATTCCCTGCCAGCCTCTGCATCATTTTTTGTCATTGTTTTGATTGAGAGCCCCCTGGTGGGGATGCAGTGTTCGCTGTTTTGGGACATAGAGAAACTTCTGCACTTGCATTTAAAATAATGTTTACAAAAAAATTATAAATTCAAAATAATCAGAATGCATTGGGGTTGAATGGCCTCTCAGACATATTTATCAGGACATGTGATCGTATACAAACAATATTCAACTTTCTAAATCCATTGGTGGTTTGTGCACACGTTTTCTAAAAGTCTCATTCTTTTCCTCTCTGGTCTCAGGATGACGGATTATTCAGTGTTCTGTTTGGCCGGGTCGAGATCTTCTTTTGGCTGATATGGGTGAAGGATTTGGCTTCTACAGATCCTGTGTCGCTGCATAGAGCAGCCTTTGCGTACTGTAGGGTGGACATAACACACTGTAATCACGCACACAAACATCCTTGCATTTCTTTTCTCTCACACAGAACGGAGAGGCTGTGATGTAACAGCGTGTCTGAGTGACGGACAGGCAGACCATGTGAGAGGACGGGCTTTATCTGCCTTGGCTGGCTTTTTTGTCTGCTGGAGGAACGCAGAACAAAAAAGCCTAAATGTCAGGGACAGGCAAGCGGCGCTGCACTTAGCAACAATCCTCTCTCCACTTCATGGCCAATTCACAACATGCAAAAGGCTGCAGTGGAAAGAGAGTGAGGCGGGCGGAAAACAGACAGCGAGACAATAGAGGAAGACGGCAATATTAAGCAGCCTTTTGTCTGTCACAGTCTCTAACAGGCGGAGGGAGGAGGAATCATAAATGTTGACTGAAAGCTCTTTGTGTGTATGTGTTCAGCACGGTGACAGCGCTCCTGACGACTCCGACAGTGATTTTTTACGGTTATGAAAGCGGCGTCTAAGCTGCGTTTGTAAATGATGAGAGTCTGGACTTTTACACAACACGGTGTGATGAGAACATAAACCAAAGATTGAGCTACATAGATAAAACATGCACATTAATGATGCCCCAATGTCGAAGAATACCCCCAAAAAGATCGGTACCTCTTTGAGGGAAACCACCCCGATGAGGCGTCCGATGCTGGTGACGTAGGCGTGGTCGAGGCCCAGCAGAGAGAAGATGGTATGGGTCTGCAGGGAAACAGAAACAATCAGTGAAGCAATAAAAACAGTGAAAATAAGAGAGCATGCTGTGTTTTGCTTTAAGTAGAAAGTGAGGTGCAGTTAGAGGAAACGCACCGCTGACTTCAATTATCCAACATGGACGACTTTGTGCACAATGGATTCATTCAAATCGTCCAACATTACTTTAAATGGGACACGATCGTTCTGGGAAATTTGACCAGGGACATTCAAAGTGATCCAGTTGCACAAGTTTATCCAGAAAAGAAAACAAAGAAAGAAAAGTGGTTCATCAGTCGAAGATATTTATCCTAAAAAAGAACACTGCCTTGCCCTGCGCATCATAGCCGTGTTTATGATGTGGATTGATTTAGATTTGATCTAGAGGGAGTTATGCAACTTTCAGTTTAAAGGTGCAATCAGTTTTAATGGTAAACAAAGTAAACTGAAGCTAAAAGTTCTTTGTTTAATTTCTTCTACCTGCAGAGACGTGCCAGAAATCCTACAAGCACCAGGATGCATTGCACTCCAACAGCAGCAGCCTAAGCTTCAGCTGCAGGATATTGTAAACAGTAAATAGACTTGAGCTTGTATGTTTCTTTTCTGGTCTTCTGACTCCTCAAAGCGCTTTTACACCGCAGGTCACACTGACACATTCACACACTGATGGTAGAGGCTGCTGTGTAAAGAGACCATCAGAAGTAACTAATCCATTCATAGGCCGCCTACGAAGCAGCGGGATCAATTCGGGGTTAAGTGTCTTGCCCAAGGACACATCGGACATGTTGCTGCAGGAGCTGGGGATCAAACCCTCGGACAACAGCTCCTTTTTTTTTAAAGATTTAAAAAGTGATTTCTTTCATCTTAGAGACCAGTGCTCAAGTGCAACATCTACTGGACATCTTCTCTAAACGTTGCATGTTATACCTTTAACTTCATATGGTACCCGTTGGCAAAATAAATAGTTTCATGGATACGTGTGAAACTCTTCCTGCAGACTTGAGTCTCCTCTAATGATGATGAGCACACATTAACCTGAGACAGCTGTTTCACGACCGGGATCAAACACACAAGAGGAGGACGTTAAAGGGTGACTAGCCTCTTGTATAAAAAGGGGATAAAAGTCAAGACTGATTTCTATTTATAGTATCGACGTCAAGTTCATGGTTAGCACCAGCTAAGCTAATTAAAGTATCTAGAATATTATATTTGTCAAACTCCAACATTCTGTTTCATTTCCTGAACATACATCACCCTCAAAGTGTCTTTAAAGTTTATCTTTTCATTTTGATGACAGAAAATAAATGACGTATCTCATTTCTATGGAGTTCAAATAAAAACAACCCGTGCTCAAAAGTTGTATGCAAAGGGAGACTGTCATTATGTGCTGTTAGAATCATTCAAACCCTCATTCTTATAATTTGCACTTTGTTTTTCCAACTTTCAGATCGTTAGCTTTTACGACCCTGTTTTGCTCTGTTTGTACTCTCCGCCCTATTAGAAGTGTATTTGCTGATGCAACGACTCAGTTTCCCCCCCCCGGGATCATTAAAGTTTCATTTCATCTTATCTCCACTTCTAGAGTTACGGCCCGGGAGTGCGTCTCTGTGCAGCTCGGAGCAAGAAGAGCGAGGGGGTGAAGAACTTCAGCGGCTGATCAGAGGGGACGCAGGACTGAGGCCAACAGCAACTTTTGGTTCTGGACCCTTTTAGGGTTTAATGGGACTTTCTGCTTAGCACCAATGTGCAATTGGGACGTCTGAAATTGATCCTGCTGTGCCAAGCAAACTGAAGCTGAGCCAAGGAAAAGATTGTTAAGTGTTTTTTAAGGCGAGGGCCCGTCGTAATGTAACAGCAGCTTCTCCTGGGACAGAGTCGGCTAACCTCCAGTTCAGCTCATTCACATCTATTGAAACGGCTATTCGCTGATTAAAACGTTCTGCAAATAGGATTGTAGAATCAACTGATCATCAGCGCGGTAATGTGGCACAATAGAGACCCTTAAGAAGAAACGAGCTCGACCAGCAGAACCCGCACAGAAGAACTGAGTCACATTTTGTGTTTTGTCCCCGTTAGTGAAGAAATGAAAACCTTTGGAGACAGAGAGGGCATGGTCATTAAATCCAGAGGCGCTGCTCGCCACGCGACTTCTAGGGGCCCCAGACCAGTAGGGGGCCCCTGAGGACTCACAAACTTAAACCAAAGCAGTGGCTCAAAATGTGCAAATTTTGCAATGACAGTAGGAAACCTCCCTAAGGGGGCCCCATGTGACAGCACTCCCTCTCGATGCCCTGCTGAGCGTTGCATGCATCATTGTTTTGAAAACTAAAGTTCGTGAATGAAAGACAACAAAGAAAACTGAAGAGGAATGATCCGTCTGTAGGAGAGAAAAAGAGGAGTAACCGTGGAGACTCTGGCGGACACGATGGTGATGATCACTGGTCGGAGTGCGCCCAATAGATTTTAGCTCCAACAACACCCAAAATATTCTTTAAAAAAACAGCAATGTGTCTGTTCCTGAAGATATGTTGCTTTCCTCTTTGGCAATTTTATTATAGTATCGAGTATGAACAATGAATATTTTAACCCTAAATATATCGGTCTCGCCCCGCCTTGGTTTTGATCTTGATCCCTAAATTTGTTGGTCTTGTCTCACCGAGCCCTGATCTTAATCTTGTTCTTGACTTGGTCTCAATCCCTAAATGTCTTGGTCTCTTCTCGGTCTCGCCCTGCCATGATCTTGGTCTTGTCTTGGTCTAGGATCACTCTGGTCTCGGATATTGGTCTCTGTTAGTGTTCTTGACTACAGTACATTTAATGAGAGCTCTTAATACTTGGCTTGAGAAAAAGAGATCTCTAAGAAATGAGTGGCAGTAAACGTAACTCCGTGTGCTGGGATAGGATGATTCTCTGAGACGTCTGTCAGATAAAACTCAAAGCAGATATTTGAGAGCAGGCTAAGGGATCTCTGAATGGTTTCATAAATCACACTGACTGCATCAAACATGGTCGATACTTATTTGATATTTGAAACATGTTCTGGAGGCTTGCAGTGGAAAAGAAAAATCCTGAAGACACTTCTTGATTTTAATTTGTTCTTCAGCGGTTTTTTCTTTTATTTGGTTGAAGCCATCCATAAAAGATATTCATTTTTAGACGGCGAATGCAAGAGAGTGATGATGAGGTCTGTGCTTTGAGGTTATTAAAAAAAAGAGATGTGTGTGCTAATTTGAGTCCCTCACACAAGCTACTCCCTCACACACACTGACATCCGCCGTGGGCCACGCTGACCGCGGTGACTGCAGAGACAAATTGTCATGTAAATATTCCAAGAGACAGATTTCTCTCACACAGAAGAGCCTGCAGACAAATACTGAACAACAACAGCAGTAAACAGCTTGTGATAAATGATAACCAGACCCAGAGAGGCCGGGGAAGATGTAGAGAGAATAACACACACACACACACACACACACACACACACACACACACACACACACACACACACACACACACACACACACACACACACACACACACACACACACACACACACACACACACACACACACACACACACACACACGAACGCCTGTATAAAGCAGCGGCGGGCTGTGTTTAATATGCTGAAGGAGATTGTGCCTGGTATTGGCTTTTGGCAGTGTGCAGTGGAGGGAAAGGAGCGAGATGGATTGGTGCAGGATCCCTCTCTTAAATGTTTAAAGAGTATTCACACTGAGCTCAGGGGTGAGGAAGAGAGAGAGAGCGAGAGGGGGGGAGGGGGAGCGAGAGAGTGAGAGAGAGGGGGAGAGCGAGAGAGAGAGAGGGGGAGAGAGAGAGAGCGAGAGGGTAGCATTATGAATGAAGAGCATAGGCACTGCCACAGCCGCTGGCAAACCAGAAAGAATCAGTGTGCATGTGTGTGTATGAGTGTGTGTGTATGTGTGTGTGTGTGTGCGCGCCTTTGTCTATGGTATGCAATTGTGCCGTAGTAAGAAAACAAAATCAACATGTGCTCTAAAGAGCTAAAGCTCCCTTTTCACACCGTTCTTTCAGTTTCTCCTTCACTCAGAAAGAGAATAATTGGTCTGTGTGTGTGTGTGTGTGTGTGTGTGTGTGTGTGTGTGTGTGTGTGTGTGTGTGTGTGTGTGTGTGTGTGTGTGTGCACTCGTGTGTTTTTGCGGGTGTTTCTATGCTCTGTTATCGTCATGACACAGCATAGGTGAACAAAGAACACCTGGAGTATGAGAGGTGGTGGCGGTCAGTTTTCTGAGTGCATCATAAATATTTGATTGTTTAAAGAAATGTTTTACAATGAGGGGAAAAATACAGAAGTTTGTATTTATGAGTTTACGAGTCATAACCATGTATGTGGAGGGGTGTATAAATGGTTGGATGGGCTCCAAATGAGGAGATTGTTGAGTTTTTTTTTTAACCTACACACAGTGCAAAGGACACACAACAAAGAAATATACACAAGTTGTGTTCCAGTGCGAGACACACACAGAGGTTGAACCACAGCTGTATTTGCAATCAGACCTTATGCAGTGATGTGCGCTCCACCAGCTGGAAGGGGGCGGGGTCGATCTTGCAGTTGGTGAAGTTGACCTGCTCATCAAGCTGCATCTCCTCCCACTCTGAAATCTGCAAACACACACACACACACACACACACACACACACACACACACACACACACACACACACAGAGGAGGAGGAGGAGTTAAGAAGACGCCAAACATTACAGAACAAAAGAGAGTGAACAGTGTGTAAGTGTGGACCAACAATCCTCCAACTTCTCAACGCGATCTCATCGAAACCGACATGTTGATGGCGTCCTGATGAAGGCTACAAGACGAAATGCAGTGGTGAATGGACTTGAGCTCCATCATCCATTTATACACATTCAGATGCCGCTGACGAAGCAGCAGGAGCAACATGGGGTTAAGTGTCCAAGGACACATCAGGTCTGTGGACCAACAATCCTCCAACTTCTCAACGCGATCTCATCGAAACCGACATGTTGATGGCGTCCTGATGAAGGCTACAAGACGAAATGCAGTGGTGAATGGACTTGAGCTCCATCATCCATTTATACACATTCAGATGCCGCTGACGAAGCAGCAGGAGCAACATGGGGTTAAGTGTCCAAGGACACATCAGGTCTAACAAAGTGAATAAAGTTGCTCTTCATACAACAAGTGTTGCTGGAACTTTCTGACCTCTGTAGCCCTTAAAAAAATTAAAATGATTTTTCAATACGTGTTGAATCAACCAGATCTGATGGGCAAAATGTTGTTTCAATCATGTGCAAATAGACATATCCAGACATCTCAGCCACAACCAAAACCATTACCATTTCCATTAGTTAATAATAAAAACCTTAACTAAACAGCCAACAAGTGTTAATCTCCATTAACTGGAATTAACTGGATTTATCTGGTAAATGGTAAATGGACTTGAGCTTATATAGCACTTTTCAAGTCTCCCGACTACTCAAAGTGCTTTTACACTGCATGTCACACCTACACATTCACACACTGATGGTAGAGGTTGCTATGAAGTATCATCCATCAGAAGTAACTAATCCCCTTTCATACATTGCCACCGAAGCAGTGGGAATAATTCAGGGTTAAGTGTCTTGCCTAAGGACACATCGGACATGTTGCCCACATTTTGATTGAACCCTCGACCTTCCAGTTGAGAGGCCACGACTCTACCAACTGAGCCACAGCCGCCCCTCTGGGTACTATGTGTGCACTTTTGTGCTTCAGACCTTGATCTGTGTGTGTGTGTGTGTGTGTGTGTGCCAGATATGATAATAGAGTTAGCAATAAAAGTTCCCCCAAGGAGCCTAATGAAGTCATTCTTTGTCTTTTTCATCATTTAAAGCCAGTCTATCGATTAGTTAATAAATAAAGGTGATCCAAAGCATTGCTTCATACCCAATAAAGTCAGAGAGAGACGACTCTGGCTTAACATAAATCCTTGATAAGTTTGCTCCATTATGTTATATTCTTTATTATTTTTAAAGGAGCAGTATGTTACTCTAACACCTAGTGTTTAAAATGGGTACTGCAGTCCAAATTCTAAATATCGTAGAGAGCTGCTCCCCCTTCCCTCCTCCCCTCTCGAGTCGATGCTCACGCAGGTTGCCATGTGGTGGACACTGAAGCTTCAGTGTTTATCCAGCTCTGCATCGGTCTGTAAACCTTTCTGTGTTCTAACCTCTCTCCATTTTTCAAAAGCATCTCCAATATTGATCCTAGTTTGAGCAAGTTTCTGTTCGTGGAGCTTATTAGAAACATGCAGAGGCCTTTGAGGTCAGGTACAATCACTTCTATCTGAACCAGTTCTCTTGCCCGATTCCATCACTGCAACACCTGTTGGTTTGACCTGATAACTGCTCTCATATCTGGCAAACTGAGGGGCGTCCAAAACGGCCGTGTGGGGGTGTCTTAAAACCGCCTACCTTCTCTGGTCCAAACAAATCCAGACTATTCAGGACCAGAATCTAAAGTTAGAAGGAGGACATACTGGCTGCTGCATTGTTGTCAGAGAAGACAGCACTTCAACATAGCATGTTTCCTTAATGTCTGATCATACAGTAAGCTCACTTTATCATCTCAGTACCCTACAGAGCTCACGGATTGGTCCTTTAACTGTCTGACTGCGTATATAATCAGCCCTGTTGGCAGATGATGTCTTTCTATGTGGTGGCAGTCACTAATAAGAAGACAAAGGCATCAAATCATTCTACCCCTCCTCCTGACAAATCACCTCCCTCTGATAGACAATCAATGGACCGGGCACGGCTCTGAATTACTCTATAAATCACACAAACCTACATTGATGGGCGGCGAGGAAGGTGAATGGCGAACACGGAAGGAAGACGTTGGGAGGAGCGATGTCAAGGCAGACGTGTGAGGGGCGAGCGATGAGTGATTTCGAGGGCGGGAGAAAAAAGAGGGGAAGGAGGGAGAAAGTGTGAGGAATGTGCGACTGACAGAGAGGAAATGAGAGGTGCTGTTGATGGATGAATTATGGATGATGTCATAGCCAAAAATATAAGACTTCAGGGTAATCGGACTCTCTGGAGATATTGAGGTATTTGAAGATCTGGGTTTGTCGTGGTGTGACGACGTTCTGAAATCCAAAGTGTTTGGTCGTTGAAGGACGGGAAAGATTGCATCAGGATGTTAGAAAGCATAATCAGCTTTTTTTCTGATGTACTGTAGATTGTCATATTTTAAACCCAGGGCCGTATCATCACTGGAAAACCTCTTGCTGGTTCATCATAATTCTGCTCTAGAGTAAAATGTCTGGGTTTGCATTCGTTCCAACAGTTGCAGCCTTGATGGTTACAAAACAAAGGGTTGGAAGGGAACTTGTTTGGGTTGAACAGTCAACTTGATTTTGGTGTTAGAGAGCATTTGAAAAGCGCAGCACCCAGCGTCTATTTAACAAGCGCTCTGCTGTTTTATGTGCAGCCGCTCCGCGCGCTCAAGTTAAAAATCTTTGAAACTTTTCAGAAACGCACTGTTGACGTCAGATATTCCCCGTATTTAAGCCTCCTACAGATCGTGTCTTGTACCCACATCCTCCTCGCTCCGTGTCTGATCGGGTAAAAATGATCTCAAATATAAAACATGCAGTAAAAAGTAACAGAGCAGTGTCGGTCATACAGCGGGCGTTGTCAACAAACTGTTGTCATGGAGACAGGACGGACGTGCAGCTGTTTCTTCTCAGAGCACAAACGCTTCTTGCAAACACACCCGAGCGCACAGTCAGCGCTTTACTGCCCAGATAAAAAACCCCAGGTGGACACGGGGCCTAAGACGAGAAAGGGTCACAGGAGTGTCGGTCAGATCCTGACTCAGGTTCAGCGCCTCATAGAGGGAGCTCACCGTTCATACACATCACTCTCCCTGCACAGTGAACCATCATGTCTGTGATGAACACACTCTCTCTGCGATACATTGAAATACACTGGAAACTAATAAATGAACCAAAAAGGTTTGTGTGTGTTGGGTGATCTGCTGCGTGATTGGCTGTGGGCCTTACCTCTCTTATGGTCATGTCGTCCTCCACATCTCCATCGTCCTGCGGATAAAAGAAACGAGGAAGCAGTCAGAACTCAAAACAGAGAAACCGTTAAGCAGTGACAAGAGGACAACACGAGCACACGAGCAGTGACAGAGGAGTCAACAAACAGAAGATAAACAACAGTGTCCAGTTACAGTGATTTTTACTTTTCAACCGCGCCCGCAGCGCTACATCGGTACACATGAGCTGAAATGACACAAACTCACACATGCAACACGTCATAAGTGTGATACAGCGCCGCTGTCTCCAGACAGATGGGCAGAAATGGAATGAGTGACTAAAGGAGCGACTACAGTACATTAAATGAGAGCGGGGGATGTGATGTATGAGATGTCGGAGCAGATGATCATTATAATGATGGATCACACTCAGAGCTCACGGCTCAGGAGTGACAGGCTAGTGCCGACGCTGTTTGACAAGCTGGACTCAAACCAGCAACCCCAAAGACGATGTGGCAGGCACAGAGAGGGGAATATACATCTGAGTGTGTGAGAAGGTTGCCGCAGGATGTGTGTGTGTGTCTGTGTGATTGACGTGTGTTTAGTCATGTGCTCGAGTAAAGATATTTACTTTCTCTGCAGGAGAACATATGTGTGTGTGTGTGTCCAAGAGAAAAAGGCAGAGTAAGTACGACCCAGGGGCTGATGGGAGCCCTGAGCTCATTTATCCTCATCGCTGCGGTTGCCGACCTGTCGGTAACCCTAGCAACTGTTGCCGCGGGGTAGAGAGAGATGCCCTACTGTAGCATTATGCAAGCAGAGGCCAGACGTGCTCGGAGTTGATGAGAACAAACAAACGCACAACCAAACACACGTACACCCTTGATCGTTTTATCTCTGCCGTCTCAGCGATCACTCTGCTCGTCACAAGGACACTCGGAAAGTCATTAAATGTAAACTTTAGAGATAGAGGGACATCAGACATCTCCTGTGAGTGTGTGTTTTCTGTGTGTCTATTTGCAGAAGAAGGTTTCTTTTTTCTTTTTTGGAAGATAGAGAGAAGGAGAGAGGTGGGTCTGTGCATGCAAAATAGGTGCTTTCAGAAAGATTAGCTGCTCTATTAAGGGAGCAAATCTCTGCCTCTGGATACACTGTTTGGCAGAAGTGTGTGTGTGTGTGTGTGTGTGTGTCTGTGGATGTGGATGGGAGGAGGAAGAGAAAACTTCTGTATGCCACTGACAGTGAAATGGGAGGAAGTGTGTGGGCATATTTAAATGAGGTTTGGATGAGAATGTGTGTGTGTATGTGTGTGTGTGTGTGTGTGTGTGTGTGTGTGTGTGTGTGGAGAGACTCCAGAGTGCTGACAATAAGCAGATGAAGCCGTATTGCTTGCTATGCTGAAAGGTCTGCTCCTCTTCCTCCTGCAGCGATCCCTCTCCACTTTCAACCAGCCGATCACCCAATCAGTGGCAACCATCCAAGACTGGGTCAGCAGGGAACAGACACAATCTACCTCCAAAGACTGCTGTATCACACACACGTACACGCACACACGATCTCTGCAGGATTATGTAGTCAGCCAGAGTGCTTAATGAGGATTTTATGTGATGCTATTGGAGTATAAAAAAGGATCTTTCTGCCTCGAGTGGATACGAGTGGAGGTGCTTAGGCCGTCTTTACTCTTGTCACTTTTTCGCAGAAGGTGAGGCGAACACTTTTGATGTAGATACGAAGTCATGAAGCTGCCTCTGGTTGGCTCATTTTAATCGCAAAACAACAACATTTGCCAAATACCCCTGTGGTATACAGCCCAGGGTTACGCAGAACGAGTCTTGGTTACACAGGATAGTCCACACGCCTTAAGTTTGATGCTACTTCTTCAGTTACAAGACTCGAAAGTTCACAGCCATGCTAGCTGCTTTTTAAGTTTGCAAATTGGTGGATGAGATATTTGCTCATTTATGGATGCTTACAATGAGCCCAGGGTAGACCCAGAGTTCACTGGAGGGATTATAAACCCGTCTGACCTGGGAACGCCTCAGAATCCCCCAGGAGGAGGAGCTGGAAAACGTTGCTCGGGAGACTTACTTCACCTGCTGCCACCCCAACCCGACCTCAGGTAAGAGGAAGAAAATGGACAGATGGATGGACAATAGGAGTAGATGACAAACTATGACGTGTGCATGCCTAGAAGGGCTTTAAAAGATGAAAACAATGAAGTTAAAATCTAAAAAGAGTAAACCTGCTTCTCAACCGGAGCTCAACTGACATACTGACATAAATAATGTGATTATCACCAAGATATAACCACAGAAAGTACGTTTAAAAATACTCTTAAAGGCTTTACATGCGATTTTTTGATCCAGCAGATGTCGCCCTTGAGCACCAGCATGAAACCAAAACAACTCGCGGTGCATTGTTGTGTTAGCATGCTAATGCTAGTGATCTTTATTATGCTCGTATCTTCACACTGCATGTAAATTTACCTGAAATGAGCGTGATCTAGAAACACAGTTAAGCAGTGAGTACAGTATGTTATTCTTCTTTTCTCTAGTCCCTCAATTAAACAACTTTTATACTCGAGGGGAGGAGTCAGCCGCCATCCGAGCAATGTAAACAAACTGAAGATAGGACTCTGAAAACTCTGAAAGCATCACAGACTGTGGGACTCGGGTGTTACACCTATTGTAGACAGTCATTACTCACAGAGTTATTTTCAGAGGATATACTTGATTTCTATTACATTTAAGTGTGAAAAATATATATAAAGGTCGCATATAAAGCCTTTAAATAAAGAGGATAAATAAAGAGAAACTCTCATGGAAGAGATGATCCCTCTGCAGCGCCCTGTGGGACGCCGTCTGTCTTAACGTGGGTGGACTCTCTGACATCTGCATCATTACCATCAGCGTCCTGCTCTCCGTCTTCAGAGAAGCTGTTACACTTTGTACTGTGATGACTAAAGAGGCAATCAGGTTTATCTGTGGAGCTTAAGCTCAGTGTTGAGATGTCTGTTTCCCTCGCGGCTGTCGGTGGCCAACACTTATGGCTCATGTGCCGTTATCTGCAGATTTCTGCTACTGGTGTTTATTTTGCTCATTAGTACTTCCAGTATTATTACTGCTCTCTCCATTTATCTGTGTATGTAATTAAACTGCTGAGGCCTTAAATGCTTATTTTCATGTTGCTCAATCAGTGTTGGGAAACGTAACATTACTGCGTTACCCTCTGAGGAAAGTTACGAGAGTACTCTCTTTGCACGGTGTATCGACTCTACCGTCAGTGCACGGCCTCCCTTACCGCCCATCGTGTGTAACCCTGCAGCCGTATAACAGGACCGAATGACGCATTATAACAAAAGTCTAAATAATGGGAATATTTCCACGACGACAAAGCTGCCCTCCCCTTCATCGTACTCGCTGAATTAGCTCGCTAAACACTGCGCTGACCACAGACTGTGAATATGAATGATTGAAGCCTGAGTGAGGTCACCCGTCGCGGTCTCCGTGCTGGAAATGCTGTCTCAGCCTAACTTTCAGTCTAACCTAAAGACAGGCTGAGAGCTGGAGTTGAGGAGGGTTTTAAGCCTCCTGACAAACCGTTACACCGCGCCCGCCTGTCAATCAGGTCAGCTACACGCCTTATTGTGAATAACTCTTATCCTTCATCAAATCAAAACGGATGAGTCATCAAAACATTCACCCCCCGTACAGTGTGTGCTGATCAAGACATGAGCTAATCAGACCTATTTGGTTTTTTGAACCAGGCTGTAAACATGTTAATCTCTGCTGTAAAAACAGGCTGTTTAGAATGGGCGTGTATGTGACTTCCTGTGCTTCTGCAGCCAGCCTCTAGTGGACACTTGAGAAACTGCAGGATTAAAATTCACCTGCTCAGACGAAAAGAAACAGAAGATGCAGACGCTTGGGGATTTATTTATTTTTCTTTTGAGGCAACAAAAGCTAGAAGGAGATGCAGCATTCTTTCAGTAACGGATTAATTTATGTTGCTAAGTGCTCGTGATGGATTAACACCGGGTCTTTGTAGCATAACAATGAGTAAGGTCTTTTACCTGCTCTCTTTTGTAAAGTGTCTCCAGATTATATTTGTTATGAATTGTCGCTGTACAAATAAAGATTGATTGATTGATTCTCAGAGTGAAAACCGTCCAAAGCTGAAACATTCTATTTTACCTGAGCTGCTGCTCTCAAACCTGAAACTAATTTTTCAGCCGAGAGAATCTGATATGAAACAACAAATCCATCCCCCCACCCCCAAAAAACAAACGACAGTCACTTTTCCGTCTCGCCTCCTCCTGATAAATACGCCGCCCCGTGTATCTCCTGTCTGAAAATGATTGAGGAAATGAAAACTCTGAATATTCTCCCCATCAGACCCCTGAAGGACACTTTTAATGGAGTCTCATAACGACTCAGATCGCGCTCACGTTGGACCCTGAACACTTGACCCTCGTCCCTTTAATAACTAACGCCTTCTTTTCAGTCTCTTGAATATAAATGACGTCCTCCTGTCATATATTTAAAGAGCAGATCATTACAGATCATTGGAGACCTGTTCAACGTCTTTACTCACTTTCTTCATCGTTCAGCGCAGGGCGGTTTCTAAGGAAGTAGAAACCACTCGACCCTCGCGGAGTTCTGAGTCGGCGTGCGTTCCAGTTTTCTATCGTGAGTTGTTTTTTTTCTGGCTTCGTGCACGACAGATTCTCTTTGCTCTACGTCCTCCGTTACCTTCTGCCTCCATCTTCACTTTTACAACAACTGAAGCAGCTTTTTATTTACTCCTGATTCACTACGTCTGATTTACGTTAACAATCTCTGTCTTAGTTAGAGACAGGGCGGGGGACAGAGTCAGCGGGAAAGGAGCCACAGGTCGCATTCGAACCCGGGCCGCCCACATGGAATACTCTAGCCTCCGTACATGGGGCACGTGCACTAACCACTATGCTACCAGCTGTATGATTAAGCTGAATTCACTGTTTGATATTTACGTCCTGATTATTTCGCTCTTATGTCGGATGATGACAAATCAGATTTC